TTCGAATCGTGTTTTATTTTCCTTAATTGCCAGACGTCCCCAGAGCGTATTAAGCATGAGCTTGGAAAGCAAGCGCTTAGTGGGATTATTTTCCATGCGGGACGGATCAACCACTACACCATCGCGATCGTACAGCAGCTGCAGATAGGCTCTTTTGTCACTGTCACGATGCACCCGTAGGTAACTGCTGGCAGCCGCTTTCTCGGCCATAAATGTACTGATATAATGGGAAAAAGATCCCTTGTCGCGGATAATGCCAGATCTCATGGATTTTAATTAAAGTATATCCCAACGACATGGCCAGTGTTAACTCGGGTGTTGTATACACCCCATTGAAACATCGCTGTTCGTCAGTGTGCCCACATGTGGCATCCTGATTGTTCAGCTCGGCGCAGCGCCAACAAAGCGTAAATAAGCATTTGTTATTGATCCGCTGGGGTAAAACAGGCAGATGTAAGCTGACAGGGGGCAAAATGCGCACGTGGGCAATCCCAAAATACTCTTCTAATGGTTTGAAGTTACTGAGTATCTTTTCCGGAATACCCAGCGGGTAGCTTTTCTGTTTACACAGCAGGGTACAGAGAATTTTATCCAAGTATGATACATATTCACCCTTTGAAGAGTCTGGCAGAGCCAACAATCGAAAAGCTTCAGTCCGCCCACCGAAAAGCGCATCTCTGATATTCATTGGTGCCACATGGCAGAAATCGTTTAGTGCCTGCTGGACCGCCTCCTGCTGCTGCCGCTTGAGCTCGCGCCATTGACAGCTCCAAATTGAACGGTATACAAATCCCCGTGATTCTAAACATTTCTGCTTGTGCATGGTTGAATGAAACAGCTGTGACATCGACTGCCCTCCATATGTTTTGGCGTCCTTAGTATAGCACGCTGGGCAACCGTGAAAATAGCACCCGTGATACTCATACACCACATTATTCTCCTCATCAAACCCATCCACAAAGAAGCGCCCAATCTGCTTTTCACCTTCGGGATGGTTGCGAGCGTGACGTATTGATTTTTGTTCTGACTTTGCCACATAATGCAGCCATTCCAGGCTCTCAAAAGAATAAGATCGATGCGTGTGAAGATCACGATATGTAAAAAACTGGATGCTGTCAGCGGGCATGAAGCGTGCTCGATATACGGTATTCACGAAGCTGGGTAGGGATACGGACTCGACTAGTGGGTTGTACCCGCCTGACAATGCCGCCATGCTAGTACAAAAACGCTGACAAGCATCGCGTAGAATACGGCAATCGTTAATGCAGTATTTGATAATTTCTTTCTCAAAAACCCAACGTTTATTTGTCTGAAGAGCTTCCTCATCGTACCACTTTTTAAAGGCAGCGTATTCTTTTGACTTCATTTGAGAGCTAAGATAGTACTGCTCATCGGGAATTTTTCCGCGGTAATTGAAGTTTTCCGACCGCGCAAAAAGAAACGGAAAACACCCTTTTGCAGCTGGGAATCCAAATGCAGCCGGCATTTCGCTAAGGCTCATCGGTAGGAAGGCCAGAGAGTCACGCAATGTTATTTTAAACTTGGGCACCTAAAATGTTAACACACGATTTAAGTTAAAGTCGGGGGGGGGATTAGGTAAAAGTAACAAGCAACAGCAATAACAACAACAACAGAGCAATAACAGAGCAACCTTCGTACATAAATCTGGAGAAATTTTAATCCCGCATAATGACTTGTGGCCAGATTTGCTTTGTATGCAGAAACTGCATAATGAAATTGCCGTCGTATCCCATTAAATTATGAAAGATGACGATATGGTTAAGATGGGAGCGAGCAAATAGCCAGCTACAAAACTGGATTCCGGCCTTCGGGCCAAAAAATGACGTTGCGATGCCTTGATCATCTACTGCTGCTGCTGCAATTGGAACATGCTGATCGCCGCTAATGTCCGCTTCAAAATCACAATACAAAAACGGCCGTGCAGGTTTCGGTGTCGCCTTGTGCACTTGTACAAAACAGCGGTGAAGTTTTCCCACCACCATCTTACAATTTCTGCAGAAATATTCACCACAACAATGCACCGGATTGTCGCCGTGTCTTTTTTGTTTGCATTGGTAATCAGGCCGCAATCCAGGCATTTCTGTCTCATTTGACAGTCAGTCATTCCCGTTCCTATGTCCACCACCTTGGAGCGATGAAGAGAAAACAGACTTTATTTTGAAAAGCGCGATTACACAAGCCGCAGATTTTCTCCACTTCAAAGAAGCATTCCGGGCGCTGACAGTTCGGACACATTTTCGGACAGTGGTGCGCCGCACCAAGCCTATAGCAGAACTTTTGCAGTGTTGACATTGCTTAGCTTTACCAAAAAATCGAGCGGGTTTTGTTATTGCTGTATAGTGGTTATCCGACAAGAACAGGTACACATCTTTGCTTGTAGAGACAAGCGGCTGCTGCACCTGCTGGTCCTCACTACCGAGTAGACCAGCCCGGTTTCATTGTCGGGCGCTCTATAGATTTTAAGGCAATAGTTAGGGGCGAGAAGGTTTTGGAAGGCTGTATATTGCGCGAATGTCACTGAGCCAAGGGTACCATGGCCTGCTGATACAGCTTTATCGCTTCAATTTTTTGAACCGCTTTTCTTCCATCGCAGAGCTGTTTCCCATTTCCCGTTATCCCGCGCAGGAAGGTTATTAACAAATGCCATTGATATAACTAGGGCACGCCCGAAGCATAGCATATCGTTGTTGCGCACGTTAATTATCCCGCCGCCATAGGGGTTCGAATTAGGTTATGTAGGTGGTGTTGGCGCGCAGCAGCATTACTTTTTTTATTTTTTCTAGTTTTACCATCATCATCATCATTATTATTATTATTTTGTCATGATCGCAACCTCCAGCTGGACGCTTTGGCACGCGTGTAAGGTTGATATATACCGGCCAATCAAGCGAAAATTCAGTTTTGAAGTTAGTGCGTTGGCAATAAGATAGAGAAACATTTCTGCATTAACCTGGTCTTGTGCGGCTAGACGCATCTGTATAGGATGGGATAGCTGACTAGATTCCAGCGACACGCTAACAAGATCTTCTTTATTTGGAATGTAGCTGCGAAGATTGCTGAATAAATCTTCCAATATCGCCAACAAAATAGGCAAGACCGTATCGATTCCCTCTAGCGGTAGAGACTCAATTTTAGCTGAAAATTCCCTGCCCAGACATTAAACTTTTGCTATGCCGCGACGTTATTGATTTCAGAGCGTAAAACTGCGCGGGATTTTTTATGACGTCGAGAGCGACACGATTTTCTTGTTTTTCTTCTTCAGCATCGGTGTCAATACGGTCGTTATTGGCGGCGCTGGCTCCGTCACCAGCAGCTGTTTTGATTTTTTCGTGTTCATAGGCCCACTACTTTTATTATCACCACCACCACCAGTCAGGTTTTTTAATTGTTGGTAAAACAACTTGTACGAGAATGCAATGTGACGCGTTTGCCGAAACAAAAGTGATGCTGCTTGCACGTCTTTGCATTTGTTGTAGAGCCTTTTAGTTTCGCTTCTCCCATCGAATCTTTTGTTGCCGCTGTCGTTTGTCGTTGCGACTTCGTCTGTGGTGGGGTGTTGCTGGTGACCTTTTCTCTCGTGCAATAAATTCTTCGGTAATTTGGTTAAGCTTTTGCCGCGCTGACTGCTGCTGCTGCTGCTTTTCGGGTTCATTTTCATCGTTAACGCAGATGGCAGCTGCTGATGCTGATGATGTCGTTCTTCTTCCACCACTAACACTGGGACAACAGGTGTGAACACTGAATCTAAAGCTAGAAACAAATAACCTAAACAACAGCGTCATGATGATCGCTCGTTAGCGACCGGATGGTGAGCAGCTTTACTCTGCGGGGTGACATACATTAGTCAGCTTATTTATATATGCATCCCGGCAAAGCACAACGCGCTAATGTCATGTTTACCCAGTGCTTGCGGCGCCCTGCGGTGCACCATCAGTTAGAAGGAGGTGGCTTTCCGCTCAGTGGGGATCTCGCTCAGCGGGAATATCACTATTGTGTACTAAACGTTTTAGCAGTTTGTATATAAACAGCTTGACTCGATGCGTTTGATGAAGCCTGGTTAGTGCTGTGCTGCAGCTGCTGCTCATTTCTATTAATTCAATTATGGAGTCCACTGCTGCAGCGCAAAAGATTACAACAGCAGTTGTTAAACAAGGCAGTGACAATGATGCCGGCAATTACAATGAAAGCCGGTTGTCATCATCAGCTTATGATGATGATCCTGTTACTGCTGATGCTGACTCGTTTGCCACTGACCTGGATGTTTACCCCCCGGCCACCGCTGCCGTATGCCCTATGTATCAACAGCACAAAGATTCTTTTCTGCTTATGTTCCGCACATCAGAGTGGACGCGGTTTGTACTGGCATCATGGGGATACAATTTCAAAGGCACTGTACGCTGCAATCACTGTAAAAAGGAATTGTACTGGCGCGATACAGCTGCTATAATTCATCATTTTGAGCGAGAGTGCCAAGATCTAAAGAACTATTCCCTAACCGACCCGGATCCTGTAGAGTTCGGCGCTCTACGCCGCCGGACCTACAAAAGTCGTCGTAGGACATTCGACAACAAAGAATTGCCTGATCTAAACGATATCGAATTTCTCCTTGCTCACGGATTCCATGCAACCAATATTATACAATGCGCTCACCCAAAATGTGATTGGACGGGAAATTGGGAGGAAATACAGTGCGTGGAATACTTAAAAACTACAGCCATGGCCGCGTACACCGCTATCAAATGTACCACCCTATGATAGCAGACCGCCAAGATTGTTTTGCAATAATATGCTTTTACATGACGACTACGAATAAAAAGATGCTTTTTCAATGCAAATTGCTTTTTACTATCGTTTTTTCCTTGCAAAAAACAACATTATAGAGAAACTAATAAAAACATTAGAACGACGAGAGCAGTCAAGACGTTGCTTCTGTTTTAAATTCAAAGAAATCAAGAATTCATTTAACCTAAAAGCATTCGTTAGAACGTTGCTTCAGTTGTAAATTCTTTCATAACTTCGGCACCCTGGCCAACATGAGCCTTGCGGTATTCGGAGACGCGTCTTTCAAAAAAATTGGTTTTTCCCTCTAGCGAGATAGTTTCCATGTAGGGCAAAGGATTTTCCACTTTAAAGTACGGCTCCATTTCCAGCATTTTCAGCAGGACGTCAGCGACAAACATAACATAGGTTTTCATGGAGGCTTCGTTAAGGCCCCGCAGAGGATGTGTGAACGCATTCTCCCAAAACCTACACTCAATTTCTACAGCTTCTAACACTAGTTCATAAATGACTTCAGGTGGGATTTTAAATTTTACTAATCCCAGATATAACCAACAAGCAAATTCAACGTGCTGAGATTCGTCGCGGGCTATCAGCTCATTACTATATGTCAAACCAGGTAAAATGCCTCGCCCCTTGAACCAAAAAATAACTGCAAAAGCCCCACAGAAAAATATCATCTCGACACAGGCGAAGGCAATTAGCCTTTCGCCAAAAGAACGCTCTTTATCGCGTATGTACTGCGCTGCCCACTCTGCTTTTTCCATAACATTGCTATTATTAATGATTGCTTGCAGTAACCTCTGTTTTTCTTCGGAATCCTGGAAATACGTATTAATAAGCAGAGAATACGTTTCGCTGTGAACGTTTTCAATGAAAATCTGATAAGCATAAAACGCCCTGACTTCCGGCAATTGAACTTCACATAGGAAATTCTCTGCAAGGTTTTCCATGACTATGCCGTCACTGGCAGCAAAAAAAGCCAGAACGTTTCCCAAGATATCTCTTTCAAACTGGCTGAGCATTGGCCACTGTCGTGTGTCATGCGAGAGGTTAATTTCCTCAGGTGTCCAAAAGCAAGCAACTGCCTTTTTATACATTTCCCACGCCTCGTCGCACTCGATAGGAAAATAACTAGCCTCTTCCAAGACGATATAACAACAGGTTCTCTGTTTTCTCCATTAAATTCGCTATTATTATTATTAATATTATTATTATTATCATTATTATCGATTTCAGTATTATAGCAAGTGTTGTTGTTGTGGTCACTGTTGTTGTCGCTACTACTACCATCATTACCGCCAGTTTCAAAATCAGTTTTATGACAGCGCCGCTAGGAACGGCGAAGGTGTTTGACCCGCTATCCATTTTGTCCTTGCAGTCAGTCTATAGTAATAATACCAATATTTAGCGGAGTTAACCGCGTAAGTTGATTATATACCCCATCTGTTCTGGCAGCCGCACCGGGGGTTCCTGCTATACTTTCTAGCCCATCTGCTTCCTCTCTGTGCAGCTCCTCCCATCACTCTGGATGAGCGCCTCTTCATCCTCTCCCTTTTTTACTCTATTTAAGCGCGTGAGGATTTTTGGGAGGAGGATTAGTAGTATTGCTGGTCGCTTATTAAACCGATCAGTTTACAATTTTGTTATGCCTGAAGTTGATACTTGTGTAAAAGTTCCTCTTATTGACGAAGGATTATTCTTGCCGGCAAAATCTACTTGTAGTAGCAACAGCAGCAGCAGCAACAGTCTCGGAATACCTTCTGCGGCAACGTATACTCCAGTTATCACATCATCATCATCATCGGCACCACAGCATCACGTAATGGCCAGTTGTTATATTCAGAATCCGTTCAGCTATGGAACCACGGCCGACGGGATGATCGTAGCGCAACAACAACAGCAACAACAACAACAGCCACAACAGCAGGACTCCAAAAGTCCCCGCATCAAGCATTGCCACTGCTACATCCGCATCAGTTCTCACACAGCATGTCCTTGCCAGCCACCGAACAGTTGCGTAATCACTTTCAGCCAGCGCAGCTGTCGGACCTGTCGCCATCGGCAACCGCAACAACTCTTAGTCAATTCCTTTCTGCATTTCCGCAATACCACCAGCCTGACCAGCTCCTACAACAGCATCAGCAACAACAGCAACCCAACTACGTTCTCTGCAAAGTTTCACTGCAGTTCTCAGCCGCCGCTGCCCCCGCCACCGGCACTGTTCTTTGGCTTCACTGTGGCAACAGTCGGCGGCTGTCGACCACAGAATGCAGAATCTCGCCTTTGCGCCGCCACCGTTCGCTTCTGCAGGAGGGATGATGACCTTTCACGCTGACCCGCCGCCGCAGCAGCAGCAGCAGCAGCAGCAACAGCATGAATATCCAATGGCGTCGTTTTTCCATCTGCCTGCAGAACAAAATCCTCCTTCATCAGGAGCACAGTCGGCAATGTCTTCAGTGCTTTACATTCCACCCAATCATAACGGTTTTGCGTGCCGTAATTTTATGGACCCTATTGTCACCGCCACGACGATTACACCACCGTCGTCACCAATGGATGCCACCACCGGCTTTAATAATGTTTCCACTAAGAAGGAGGTAGTTACACCGGCCAAAAACCTGTCATCCAGTTGCCTCGCTGAGAAACCACTTTCCAGATATCTTGACCCTGAAAGATTGTTGCGCCCGGACCGAATCAATACGGCGCGACGTGTTACAACCGCTCTCAGGGACAGCGTATTAGGTCCAGCCCACGCAGCGGGCATGAGTCGAGAAACCTGGATTTACCGAGACGCAGCGTTCAAGTGGTTCTGTGAAGTGGGCTTAACCGACTTCTTGAGGAGGAATTCTGATTACGCTAACAACATCAAAAGTATTGTTGTTGAACTAGCGGATCGGCTTGCCGAAGCTAATGCGCCGGCCATTCAGCTTAGAGGAGGAGCTAGCGGTGAGGAAGCTGGAGGGAGTGACTATACCAGTGGGGGAAACCATCACCATCCAAACGCATGAAGATGAATGACTGAGCAAAGTAAGGTTTCTTTCATTCTCACTACAGACAGCTCGTTCTCGCTTCGCTTCCTGAAGCATTTTCAGTACTGTGCCTATATATCCGTGTAACAGCAGCTTACATAGTGTTTCATTTCATTTTGCAGCACATTACGATCATGGATATGTTGCATCAGCAGCAGCAGCAGCAGTGCAACCAGAAACAGACAAAACCGAAGCCGTTTTTAATTGTATTCGAAGGAATTAACACCGCAGAGAAAACCAATGGATCTGTCATACTTGCTGATGCGCTTGCCAATATGGGGTATAATGTTTCCTTACACAATGACCTTTCCATGTCGAACTGCCTCACCCAGCCAGCATTGCCTGACTTATTCCGAGCCTCTGTTCTTGCCTTATCTAACCGTGACCTTGTTCACACCCGCGCTACCTATCTTATCCTTTCCGCGAGACGCCAGATACTCATTAATGACATTCGCAGTAATTTAGCCGACGGAAATATTGTTATTGTGGACCGCTATATCCTATCCGATTTGGCCTACGGCAGTGCCCGTGGACATGATATGGACTGGATGAAGAGCATTGAAACCAGCGAAGGGGAAGCCACTTCAGCGTCCTTTATTATTCCGGATTTAACCTTTTTATGGATGTGAAGCCTATGGAAGCTATTCGGCGCATGATTAAGCGAGCGGATGGGACACCGCACCCGAACAGGTTATTGTTGACGATCTCGGTCGTGTTTATCAAGCTTATAAACAGCTGTTGAACGATCCTACTTTTGTAAAAAGCGTTTCGTATATAAAACCTTTGATGTTGTCAAACTGCTCTCTGTCCCGTAAACTTTTGCATGAATTTTTCGATAACTATCACACGTAAAAAAATCGTAATAATGGTTTGTGCACGTCAGGTATGTTTTTTCTTTATGACACCGTCTTTTATGATCTGCTGTCGTGTGTATGATATTTAATAAATCACAGAAAATCGACTCGATGCTTTTCGGATGCTTTAATAATCTAAGAGAACAGACACATGATGATTTACGTAGTAGAAAACGACCGAACGACAAAACTAACACTATAACTTGCTAGTGACCTTCACATGACATTAATAAATTTCTTGCTCTTATCAATTTGAAAAATGCGCGGCTGCTCAGAAAATACAAGCAGTTCGACAGGTTCTTCTAGCGGCGCAGCGAATTTAAGCTCTAATCGAGCGAGCTGTCTCCTTTCGACCGGAATATCATCGATATCATGATTGGGCGTCAAATCAAAAGGGAAGATGCTCTGCGAGAAAAACACAAAACACAAATCAAATACATAACGATAAGAAAATTCTAACGATAGAGCGTTAATTAAAACAATCATTTGTACCGTTCCGTAGCGAATGTCGGCATACGATGTGTCGGTGGAGCAGGCATAATCTCTATTGCCGAGTTGACATGCCAACGCAATGTAAAGCATGGCATAGTGCCCGTTTTAAAATCGAGCTTATACGATAGAATCTGATTATCGACTATTAGCGTTATTTCCTCAAGGTTGAAGTGCTGGAAATTTATTGGATTTTTGCGGTAGTTTCCTAGATAGGCGTCGTGAGTGACCATAGCAAAAACAATTCTATTTGGTATTTTCTCGGAACCAAAAAAGTTGTCGATCGTATACTGCCGCTGACCAGGGATTAATGCCCGACTGCGGACATCGCTAGCTGCGTACATTTTATAAATCGCCGGCTGTGACAATAGCCGCTTTTGCATTTGGTCCTGCGTTTTTTGTGACAATTTAACAAAACGAGTGATCAGCCGCATATCCAAAAAATTAAGGTAATAATTAGGAGCAATATCGTCAGACATAAGATAAAAGAAGGATTGCGCTTGAAAAGTCGAATTCGAATAGAAACTTCCGGTAGTAAGTACTGTTCGAGAAAGAACAATTCGTGCATTATTTTCCCCACCATTTCGAATACCTTCCTTCTTTTGTCAAATCGTAGCGCCAAGAGTCCTTGATTTAATTCAGGGTTCGTTAAGTCCACACTATCCATGGTATTTTGTGGCTGAATTCGGCTTAACTTATCTCTGAACCACATTATAGGTCGGAGCAGATGCTTTTTCACCCTCGAGAATAGTTTAGCAGCGTATGCATATAGCCTTTGTAGCCATAATTATTGTAGTTGACAACAAAAGGCGTCCCATTTATTTCGATTTCCACACGCTCAAACATCATGTAAAATAGTAAATTAACTGGAGCCGCATCACGCACACCCTGAGTGTTTAACACGTTGGTATAATGACCTCTGTCGGCGAAATCTAATTCCCCACCAAACGGGCAATAGATGGGTCGGCTAAAGGATTGTCAATGTAACTTTGCCCCGCCGCGTTGCTATTGCTTGTCATCAAGCCTTGCTGTTGTTGTTGTTGATTTGGCCTGGGCGCCGGCGGCGGCGGTGGCGGCGGCGGCGGTGGCGGCGGCTGCGGTGGCGGTGGTGGTGGGTGCTGTGAGACTATGGCATTAGATGCACTAGAAGCTTCTGCGCCAGCGTCAGCAGAAGAATCTGGCTGGACGACTGGAGCAGGCTGTGCAGGTACAACTACAGCTCGTATAGGCTGCTGAGCCTTGATCACTCCAAGAACTTTGGTAGGATCACGATCCAAAATCTGGCATTTCATTTTCAGCAGCACATCTGACAGGTCTAAGTAATATTCAGTTGCAGGAATGAGAAATTCAATAACGTCAGTGTTGTTTACAATTTGATTCAGTGGCATGACATCCGTATAATGATACGATTCTACTGTAGATTGTGATACGGGTGGATCAAACAGCTGAAGCTCGTCTGGAAACTTCTCGATTGTATACTGGTTTTTTAGGGTAGCCATTCCAACTGTTTGCGTGTGTGTGCGTGCGTGTGAACTAGACTATTGAAGCTAGACTTTTTCCTTTGTGACCTTTTGAAATAATCCGGTTCGAAAGTACGTCTTCGCCTACGTCGGCCTCGCCCTCGTCGTCTTTTTCTCGTGCCAAATATCGGCCCTCGCCCAATTACAGCCGTTGATTGACAATTGTTCGTTTAATTATGCGCCCTCTCCTTCTTCTTCTTTTCCCACTTGTTTTTCTCCGATAGCGAGCCGTTTTAAGAGAGTACCACAAACTACTAGCACAGACTGAATGCTGAATGGTTAGGTCTTCTTCTTTTTATAGTCGGCGGTGCAACAACGCTCTTTTCCGTTAAACATCAAGCAGATCCACAAACAATCAGACAAACACTAACGTTTTCGCTTTTCACGTTCCAAGAAATACGCAACACACATTCGTTTCACAAAAAACGCTGCTGGTTACAAATTAGCAAAACCGCAGAACTACTCACTCACGAAAAGAAGTCTCCGATTTTTCCGCTCTCCCATTATTGGATTGGCATTTTCGATAATGGAGCGTCAGAGTGGTTTCTCCCAGAGCATTTTCATTCCAAGGCATTTTCCAGTCTGATTGGATGGTAACAGTGGGATTGGACTTGTAGAACCAGTTTTGACGGGGACATACATGCGACTTTTGGTTCATAACCTTTCTTCCAAATCATCGACACTGGCTACCGCGAGAATATTTTCCGTCCGATTTCCGAAGGCAAAAGAAACTATTTGATTCATGCAGATAATGGCCTGCTTGCGCCCCCGCTGCGTGTCCACCGGCAGACGATTTCGAATGAGCCGAGTGTCTCCATATTTTTGGAAGTTTTGATCGTGAAAATATGCGCTTGCAGCCACTTCTTGACGCATTACGCCGGCATCGTCATCGTAGAGCAGACCCAGTACCACCGACAGCAGGTTACCTCTATTGACAATTTGCACCTGCTCGTTCTGACTCAGCCAGTGCAACTTTCCTTCTTGCAGCAAAATTAAAGGCGCAATTACTCCAGCCATATTGGTGACCATCATCTGGACTGCCTTTGACACGGCAGCAACGAAGTCACGCGGCGATTTGTCGAATTCAGCCTCCGCAAGGTAGGCATCTAAATAAAGTTGGCTATCAGCACTGTTTACGCAGACTGTCAGCTGCCGATGCTCAGGTGGATGGTGCTGAGCTCCGCTGAAGTGAACGCCCTAACCAGGGCAACCTCCCAAGGCACTTGCTGTTCGTAGTAGGATAAAATCGGTAGTTGTTGTTTATTGGAAAATTGTGTGGCGGTGTTGCGCAGCACCAGTGAGCCATAAGCCACGGAAGCTCCGCTATGCAGTACGGTATAAAATCCTCCCTCCATCATGGTTTCCTACAAAAAGACAGGTTTACCTTATAAATATGAAAAGTTCACAACTGACTGATCATACAGTTTCAGAATTTCATTTAATTCTTCCTGACCCCACTCTGGAAATATCTTCCTTATAAAACTGCAGTGGCCGATTGCCTTCCAAGAGAGTTTTCGGTACGCGATCGAGCGTCTGCAGACGATACGTTATCACCGGCCCAAACAAAATTTCGGAAATTTGAAAAATTTCATCGGAGAACGTTTGAGTGTATCCCTTGCTGAATGTTGATTTCTTAAGTGCAATCCGGACTCTGTCACCAACTTTAAAAGCTGCCTTCTGCAACTTAATAAACCGCTTTTCCTGGCCCAGTTTAAATAACTGCGATTGATTGCTGACCGTGATTTCTCCCGGCTTCATTTTCACAGCACTATGTACGCTTCCATTATAATTTTGAATAATATTTTGCAACGCTGAAAACCAATTTGAACTCTTCGTGAACGTAAAATGACGGAATAATGTCGTTTTAAGAGTTCGATTGAAACGTCGCTAGCGCGGCTTTAAATCTTGAAGACGATATTTGGTGGCGTATGCCGTGTTTGTCGTATACGGATTTTGCTTTTTCATTGATGAACTCTTTTCCCGCATCAGTAACTAAAACAGTTAAATTTACAAAAGCTTTCTGTATATTTAGGATAGCGTGTGCTGTTCAGTCTCGTTATTCATTCTCACCAAAACAACGGGCCGCCGCTTTTGAAAAATTATATCCAGCGCTTTCGAAACAGTTTCACCCGATTTGTTGACCAGCGGGTACGATGTAGCAAAACGACTAACGCAGTCTACTGTCGTTAGAATGTAGCGGAACTTTTCATTAAATTTTTTAACTTTCTGCAGCTCCACCAGGTCACCATGCCAAACGTTATCCACGCCAACGCAAAAATTTTTTAATTTCTTAAATTTAATTCGGGTAGGCCTGTGCAACGTATGAGTCTTTTGCTCAGAAAGAAAATCCTTGACGTCCTGTAGGGTTACCGTCAGGTGCTTAGCTTTCTCTGCCTCTTTAGCAAGCCGGTATAGAGTCATCGTTCCACCCAAATACCCCGGTGACGTAATATCAGTATAGAGCGATTTCAGAAAGGAAGCCTTTCGCCGACTTTCAGTGGCGGTTGCTGGTAATAACTTTTTTCGCGCCATTGCAGCTTTCTTACCTTTTTTGCCGGGTTTTGTGTTTCTTAGCAACAGCGGAAGCGGAAGCGGTAGCAGCAGAGCCTCTCTGAATAATTCCACGTATCAAGAACAATAATCAGCTCCACCGCCAGCAAATAATCTATAGTCATGCGGGAGGGGGGCCTTTCCTGATTACACAACAATTTATGATCGGAGATATAATTCGATTTTTGCATCCGCTTACGAGCAGAAGGTTGTCAGAAATCTCGAAAAGCCAAGTTCTTATTCACACGTCATTCTTTGTCTTTGTGCACCGCTTTTATACAGGGTGATAAACACGCTGAACACACAAAACAGTTGTGGTGACATTATGTGACTTATACTCCGCTGGACGTCTCACAACAGGGGGTGAGGCGCATGGGCAACTATCGCACAGACCCGGCCCATCGATCCAGGGGGCTGATGCGGCTAGAATCAGCACGGCATGTGAGCATTGCAACTAAGCAGATCCGATATGCAAGCCGTATAATATATAATAGCTATCACCCGGCGTAATTCGATGCTGCAGTCAGTGCAGTTTTGCGGATTTTGGGAATGGTGCGCCGCTTCTTTACAACTATTGTTAGTTCTATCGGGAAACTTTTATCTTTTAAAATTGACTACAAGAGTGTTCCAAAGAAAGTTAACGAACCGTTTTGCTGCAAACACCAAGCCGGCATTTTGGCTGAACACATTTTGCAATAGGTGTTGGAAAGTCAACAGCGACAGCCAAACAGGACGCGGCTAAAAAATTACTTGCTATTTTATTGCGGAATTACCATACCAAACTCTTGGAAGTGTTGGAAAGCGAAAGAAGGCAGCAACAATCAGGATCCACATCCACTAACACCACTACCATCACAACTACTACCAGTAAATCAGCGCCTACGCCAGATCCATCCTCTCTCGCCCCGAGAAAACAACCGCCTTATCAGGCACTCGCGGAAAGCCTAGCAAACATACTCGGTTTTGATTTGGAATACCGCCGACTTCCGTCCATCGACGCGAACAACTGGAATTATCAGGCAGCAATTGCCAACGAAGATCTCTTTATAATAGGGAGCGGACCAACAACACACCTGGCAAAAGCGGATGCTGCTAGGCTACTTGCTCGGAAACTACTGGTACATTATATTCGACTTTTATTAGAAATCTTGGATTCTCCACCCCGCATCGCCTCTGTTTCCAAGGCAGCGACGACATCGACAACGACACCGACGACGACGACGGCGCCGGCATCACCATGAGCAGTGGTTATAACAGTAGGACAAACGGGCGGCAAAGATTTAGCTTCCGACCCAGTATGATTTACCGATATCGTTCGCCATATAATTCACCCCTTCACCTTTGGAAACTAATGAACCATCTCCGACAACAACAACAATGACAGCAGCTATTTCACTCCGCCAAAGCACCCCGATGCAGGAGCAGCGAAAAGTACACTGGATATCTCGACACCGGCCAGATACGGAACGAGCTGCAGCTGTGCACCAAGACGTGCTCCATAATCCTGGTAAGCCTTATCGACATCCTCAATTTCAAATTTTTCAGTTACTTATGGCGTTCTGTTTTTATATAGCCTCTTCCCAAGCCCATTCTACGCTACCGCTACACGATGATTAACATCACACGCGTAGTAAACTTTACCAGTTCCAAAACCTCATGGAACAAAGCCTCATTCCTCTGGACACCTATTTTCAAAACGCTTTGCGAACAACAGCCATTAAACGCACTGGAACAGAGGTGGATCTGCCACGAGGATTTTCTCATGATGTTTACCAGAAATACAACTACCTAGAACTTTACCGCCACTTCAATCTTCGGCATATCTTCCAGGTTATAAAGAACTACTTTAATCAATTTGTTCAGTGCCAGCATTGCAGAAGCTGCTCGACTGTCATTGTACGAAAAATGGGAAATTATGCATGATTTGCTTAGCATGTCAGGCTAATACGTTTGTCTGCAAGCGTGTGTAAAACGAGGTTGACTTACGGAACGGCCGTGTTGCGACAACGATGATGATTCAAATCTGTTAACGAATTCAAACTGGGCATATGCGTGGAATTTTAGTTGATAAGCCGCCTTTTGTTAACAACGAAGGAAATGTTTTGTTGTTCAACCAATGAAACATCCAAGAAATAAAAAAAGTGACTGTACAAACTTGCCATCCCGGGAACATAATGTAAACGTAAGTGATCCAGCATAGGAAATAACAGGAATTGTCGAAACAAAAAAGCTCCAACATTATGCAGCCATATAACAAAAGATCAACTAAAAGCAATTCCGTAACAAATTTCAAAACCTTAGTTCTGGGTATTAAAATACAAAATTGTGTGGGTATAGGTATATACATACAATGTATCAATCAAGGAAACGCAACCGATGATCGAATTACTGTGTCTGACGCCGAAGTCGCTTGAAACGCTCGCGGCGACGTTTGAATTCTTCACGCTGCGCTTCAAATTCATCGCTTGGACCACCCTGTGCCCGAACTTCCAAGTCCATTTCGCGCCACGCTCGAATTCCATCAGCCATCTGACGCTCTCCTTCCGGTCCACTTGCAACAGTATCATACAGAATACTGGTCGAGAAGGCGGCCATATGGGCGGGAAAGGCTGGGTCCGTCACGCTTCGGCTCCACACAGCAGACAGTCTTCTGGTCCGTTCATCCATATTCTCCACGAAATGGGCCATACTATCGTTAACAGCTTCCCGGTCTACAGATATCATTACCACACAAATCACACAACTGTTTAACACAATTAACCAAGCAACACTGCGGTGATACCTGTGTTGTTGTATCGCTCCGGGTCGATGGCGCTGTGATAAGAGGAATCTGATGGTGGGTTGCTTCCAGAAACGCTTTCCAGGGAAAAATTCCCCGGCTGCCTGTGCGGTAGTTGTGGCGGCGGCTGCTGTTGTTCTCCGCGAGACAGAGCTGCCCGCATGACACTAACTCTTTCGCCTAGACGATTAATACTGTTGTCGAGTCGCAAATTCACATTTTCCCACTCCTGGTTAGGGTCAGCGGTGTTAATGCCGTCAAACCCGGTAACGTCTATAAGCGCTGTTTATGATTATCAACTAAAAAGACACGCAACACAAAAGCACGGCTGGCGTGCCACATGCACGCATACTTACCGTCATTTGGACAAGGTGGATGATGAGGCGAAGCTGTTGTTGCAGCGGATCCTGGCGGCCAGGACCTCTTAGATTAGCGTTAGAGTTATGGAATCCCAAGAATGTTGATGGGCGCGATGAGCGCGGTGGTTGGCGGCCGTTGCCAGGGCCACCAAAGGGATGTGGCGGAGCGGATGGAGTTCTGGGAATTCGAACCGCAAAAAGATCGACAGTCCTGTGTGCGTGCAGCCGTGCCATGCAGCGCTGAAATAAATTGTAGCGTGATGCCGCGCATCCCAGGATAGCCAGGACGAGCAGGACAATTCCCACAGCGATCCCGATTATTCCGCTAGTATCCAGAAGTGGTGCACTGCTGCTGCTGCTGTGGCTGGCTTTGTTGTTGTTGTAGTTGTTGTCGTCGTCATCGTTGTCGTTGCCACTGCTACTACCTAAAAAAGCACGGTGGACATGGTTGACATGGCTGTAGCTGCAGAGTCGGGTGAACGACCTCCTCCTCAAGAAGGTAAGAGTGGTTAGACATGTTGTTATCTGTTCCGGATATGTTTACATCGCTGCCGTCAGTACTGATCAAGATTAATACATCTGCTACGCTTGAATTGTCTCCCGTTTGGTTCACCGTCGCCAATGTCGACGCGGGTGACGCGGGTGTCGTCGTCGTCGATGACGACGACGACTCAGCAACATATCTGATAACAGAGACGGAATTGGTGCTGGTGGTGGTGGTGGAGATGGCCGCTGATAACTCGTGGTCAAATACAGCAGCGGTAGCGGTGGTGAAAATATCGGGTATGTAGCTTCTCGTTGAAGTTATATTGTTTTCCGAGGAAAACGGGGGATAGATGAACGATCGTTTCCATAATCCTTCCGATCAGCGCCACCAACTCCCCGCTACTATCCCTTCATCCATAAAGGTTTCAGTAACTTGGGTATGAACCGTGGTGCTGTCGTCGGGAAACTGTTTATCACCTGATATGTGGTAGCAGCAGGCGCGCTAGTGCTGCTGCTGGTGTCCATTTCATTTTCTATTTCCGTGGACAATGGGACGGAGGAAGGGTGGATATTATTTATTTCAAAACGAATGTCTGCAGGTGGAGACAACAGCATAGATAAAGTTGACGATAAATTCGAAATTTTATGGTGGTGGGATCTATCACGGCCGTAGCAGCATCGGTCAAGACAGGAGAAACAACGTATGCGCTATCATCACTCGACGTAAATGCCGATTCTGTCGTGGTGGTGGTGGTGCTGCTGCTGCTGCTGCTACTGCTGCTGCTACTGCTTTTGCTCTCTTGCCTAACCGTAATTAATAAAGGGGCAGGTGATGTAATCGTCGCTTGCACAATTTTTGTGCTTGCCGCAGGCGCCACCGCCCCGGCCGTTGTTGTAGTTATAGCGGCAGCTACATACATACAACAAGAACTATCCGAACCTTCTATCGAAAATAATGTTTGACTGAATCTTTACTTACCAGCATGGGTGGTAGTGAAGACTTTGGGCGGATATGGCAAAGGCCAGGGTGTTGGAAACCCGGTTGGTGTAGGGCGGCTGGACCACGGACAGCACGGGGCATACGCGCAGCCGTTACGCTTGTCTACGGATGGATATACATTTTCTGCGTGAAACTTATTTCGATGGGAAACGATTCTGAGTCAAGAAAACTATTTACAGAAACTTTTTATTGGTAATTAACCTTTTCCGCATCGGGGAGCGATGATCTTCAGACCCAGTTTCTCCAGGCACTCCAATTCACGACATTGATAACCGTCAAAAATTGTGTTGACCAGGAAGATCAGTTGCAAATCCGGGAAATTATGGGTTGGCGGCCAATTCGGGAGCACATTCACATCCGATCCTGTCATATCCAACATCTTCACACCTCTCACAACGACATGCGGTTGATTATCCAGCGGCCAGGTCATCGAGCTGCTGCTTGAGCACTGCCAGATTGTAGGCTTGCAGGTGCAGAAGTATGGACAAGCGGCGGCGGCGACGGCGGTGTTGGTAGCGACGATGGGATAGTACTGTCCGTAAGCAACGCTGCATACAGTAATTACACCCATTACAGCCCCGGCAATAATAAGGTTAAAAACCACTGCCATTGTTATGCACGGTAAACACACAGGTCAATTAGAATGAATACAGTTATTATAGTTATGTCACATAAGAGCTGTTAACAAATATTCTAGCCTGGCAAAACATCATTTCAAATGCAAATGACTGAACTGAATGCGCAAATAATCAACTGATGGTTGAGTTAGTTTTCAACATCGCGACTTACCTCATTTTTCCTCTCATTCTCTGGGCCGACGGTTTTTGAAAGAGAAAAAATTACCAGGAGATAAGACTATGATGCCATTACAGCTAAAATTCTCTCTGCTGTAAGACACTGTTTACGCTTCATTACGCTGATAAGAGCCATGAGAACTTGAGCTAGATGGCCATTTTTCCTCCACATGCAGTTTTTTTATCAGTCTACCACTGAAGACATGAAAATGAGCACACTGAATAAATAAGCAGCGGCCAGCAATACAGCTGTGACTTTGCACACGGCTTGCATTCTTTCTTTCTATCTTCCATAAGCCTGCGTGTACAAGCAGCAGGGAATAAGTAGACGTTTGCAGCGCACAGCAGCGAGAGTAGCCAGTACGTACTGAGTCCCACTTCTTTGAGGCTGCAGAGATGAGACAACTAAGTACAGTACAGTACTTATGACCGCTATATGTACCGCACAGCCTGACCACCCGCGGGCTGGCTGACGCCTGCTTCGCAGGTAGCGACCTACGTCACTTTGGCCCATGGGTGGTTGGTTGCCGGCCTTATTAATATTTAAAATATTAATTTGGTCAGACGTTTATTTTAATTTTGTAAATAATAATTTATTATTTATTTTAATTTATTATTTAATTCCAGGGGCAGTTGGGGGTTGCTGCTTCTGGGGCAGTGGATCAGGGTGGCGCCCAATGGCGCCAGAATGATCACTTATCATCAGCCAGGGTATCGATTTAGGCAAGATGGCGTTCTACTCGGTGGCCACCGGTCTCGTCACCGACGGCACAGTAGAATCTTCCGGAAGGGTGTACATACACTTACAGGGCCTCCCGTGTCAGGACAAGCAAAGGTAGCGGTCGCAGCACGGACCGATCGTTCGTCTCCTATTGTCCGCGTGGAAATACCACCGCACCGCTGGAGGACTTTTGTGACATGACGGAATATAATAGATATGTGGCGCGCTCGATTGCTTCACAACACGACGACTCTGTTAATACGTAGCAGCATACTCAACAAGCAACGTTTTCTGTAGCTGCATATCAACCAATGAGTCCTCTTTCCTTACAGAGTACTATAATGCAAAGCGAAACATTTATTTTTGGCGTTCATTCATTTACCAGCCTGTGTCGCTCGATTTGTGCAATATGTATCTGTATGTTTGGCAAACAATTGTACAGGTGTTTGATGTGCTTACTTGTACATATTGTAGACAGAATGACAAGTTTTCTTTAATTATTAATTTAATTTTGTAGGCTTGAGTGATGGGCATTGCAGCACATTCTTACTTATTGCAAACAAATGCATTTCACAGAAAAACATAAAATGACGTCAATTGCGAAGATCGGCTGGAAACGTTCAAGAAAGTGCATTTATTTCCTACGCACCGTGCAACGTGCATTGCGTGAAAAGACACATTTCGAAATAAAATCCCGCAAAAATCTAGCCGTGCAGCAGCTGCATGGCAAAGAGAAGCTAGCCAGTAACTGATTTATGACCTATTCTGAAATCTTTTTTGATGACCTTTGTTTAAATGGGCCACAGGTTAAATCGTCAAGCATGCCAACAATTCGCCGGGGAACCAGTAAGTGGTATCGGTATGCCCGACGAAACTATCCAGTGGTTCCACTTGTTGAACGGACTAGTTTAGTCGTAAACTTGTAAGAACTCTGTGGCCGGTGTTGTAAAATAGTGCATTGACTTCCGTCACTGCCTACCGTGACTCCATCAGTGCCGTCATATCGTATTTCTTCCAATGCCTCCCATGATGTTCTCTGTCAAAAATCACATGAGCGAACATTTAGGCTTTATTGATAAACTAATATCAGATAATTTATCAGAAAGCGGTTTGGCATAAAGGTTTCTAGTCAAGTATGTTTCAAAATACATGTAACTGATGATGAAAGTACATCTTTCGTACTGTACGTCGTACGAGTACGATAAGACCTTACTAATTTGCTACTGAAGTTACTGCATAAGTTAAGGATGTCTCTTACGGGTAGCAAGCAAACAATGACGTACTGTGCCGAACTATTGAAACTATTGTACGAACTATTGCAACCGTTGTAAGGAATTATATGGCACACTGTAAACACTGGGTTATATTTTTTTCAGGCCGTGTCTTTCGTCACTTTGGCCGCCATTTTTGTCCAGTGTAAAACGACCAGTGAAACGTCTTGCGACATATAACACCAGCAAAATAATGCATACTCGTACAGATATAGACTTAGAATCATAAAATAATTTTTTTCTTAAATGTTTTGTGTTGCCTTAATGGTATCAACGCAACATTTTGTCTATTTCGGAAGTTTCCGTCAAATAACATGGAAAGAGTCGCACTTTCGTATCCTAATTTACTGCAGCAGGTAATGTGCCTACTCTGTACATGCCGCCTGCCGGCACCTTGCTTATTGTTAGCCGTACACAAAATGCAAGTTTTGCTGCAACATCAAAGACGATCACGCAAAAATCACGGAAAACATGCTCACAGCACTGCAGTCGTCACTGAATAGGCAAAATTAACCATAAATATACCTTGATTGGTGTACCTAACTTTCGTACACATTAACTAACACAAGTCGTAAACTGTCGCATCTGGTGCACATAACGCTTACCTGAAAACAATAAAAAACAAAAGAAACATGAACATTAGTCCGAAATTTATGTGATCTGTTCGAAGCTCTCAAATGCCGGTCGTTTTCGTATGTATACAGTGAGAAGGTATTTAAATCGCGAACTCGCCTTACTCGACTTTGAGTATGTTTGAAATTACCCTTTTTTCCCATAAATTATTTCGTTACAAAATGCGTATCTTTTCCATGGTCTGCTTTGGCTTGCTCGTGCTAATGGTCATAATGGGAAACTCGCAAGTCGTGAAGGAAAACGTGTGTGGATACAATGGTAATGTGTGTATCGGCATACCGAACGGGTGTCCAGTGAAAAGCGACGGGGAAGTGAAATTCCATTACTGCGACGCTGTAGTGACCGTCCAAGCCGGTCCGTTCGGTTCAACACGCATTGACCTTTGGGGTTCTCCGCTACTGGCGAAAGCATTCGGTGGAATAACCCACAACTGGGTTGGCTTAAGCTTTTCCGAGGTACAACACACCTTTTTCTAATAATTTTTCAACCGAATGAACGTCTACACTTTAAAATTTAAAAAAAAAACATTCTACCTCACTTTCTAGAAAGGCGATACAAACAATTCTCCTGGTATTTACTGTTTGGCTGATGAGCGTAACATCACCACAAAATTTGGTTGGAACACTCTGACAGACAAAATGCAACCGGAATCGACAGGAATCGAAGTTGGTATTTTATTTCCATTATTAAATTGATTAAGGTACAGCAAAAGTAATACTTCACCAAGAAAGCTAAAGAAATATGATATAACTCTGGGGCATATGTAGTGAAACACCTGTCGCATTATTATAAGTATCACCGTATTCTCCTAACTTTGTTCTCAAGGCTGTATACCAAATCCACTGCCAGTTTTGTAGCTGTCCTGGCTGTCCACAATGCAAAACCCGCTATTAGAGCTCTATACCGCATGGGATGGTCTGAAGGGTTTACGGTGCTCCGTGTTGCTTGAGGGGAGCTTTACCGTCCAAGGTCTGGAAGTCAATCTAAGCAGGATGGCGTTCTACTCAGTGGCCACCGGTCTTATAAAGAATGGGAGACACGAATCTTCAGAGCGGGTGTATACCTATTTGGTTTCCCGTGTTCAGACGGACAACGACACCGATCACACCATGAACCGGACATTCATCTCTTATTGTCCGCGTGGAAATAGCACGATACCCCTTGAGGACGTTTGTGAAATGGAGGAATACAACAAATACATCGCTTCGCTGCATGATAACTCTGTTAATACGTTGCCCCGCATTTAGCAGCAAAGCATCCTCTAAAGTCGCCGCTTGCAGCTGCACAGTAATTACTGTAATTCAGTGTAATGTACTCTCCTCGCTGACAATGTCTGGAGTATCAACCATTATTTCTTGCGTTCCTGCTTTCAATCAGTATGGATGCCCAAATTTTTCCGAGCTGCGCAATAGCTGGCTTTTGCAATGTGTATCCATGGTGTACAGGTGTATCTACGTAATGTACAGTCGACAGATTACCTACAGATACTTGAGTTTCCAGTTTACTTAATTTTTCCCCGCATTCTTGTTTTGTTTAACTTTGTAGCCTGGAGTGGTGAGCGTTACAACTAGTATCACGAACCATCCAAGTGAACGCATTTCATAGAAAATCCTTAATGATCTAATCAAAACCACCGGTAATTGTTACGCAACCTCAGCACGAAATAGATTACACTGTACTTGTACGCAGTGAAGCAGAGTCAGGAGCCATGCAGCAGTTGAATGGCAGAGAGGAGCTAATCAGTAACTGCCTTACAGCTATTTCTGGATTGTTTTGATGTCCTTTGTTCTAACGGGCCAAGTGCTAAATCATCCAGCAAATGAACGATTCGAGGAGGGACTAGTGACTGGTATAGATGACGGAAGTAACCAGTGGGGCCAATTATTGAGCGGACGAGGTTAGTCGTAAGCACTCTATGGCCGATGTTGTATGCCAGTGCCTGGGCTGCCATTATTGCCCCAGTTACTCCAGTTCGCTGTTTTCTTCTTGTCCGTATGACACTTTTTGATCGAACTGGTAATTCTACTTTGCTGAAAAACTTTTTGAAAATCACTTTCTTCACGACTTCCGCTTCCGGTATACTAAAGACAAACGAAAAACAGAATTAAGATTGTTTTTCGTTCTGTTTTCTGGGTTTGCTTAACAGTGTATTTTAAGCAGAAGCGTTGTAGTCAGCACCTGGTCTTCCGGTTCCCTTCTCGTAACTTGAACCAACCGGAATGCATAGATGTTCCGGAAAGGTTTTCCATGGTCACCAGGCTGTGGGCAACAGCCGCCGCCTTGGTTAATTTGCTGCCTTTTGACTTCACTTTTAGCTCCAGTTGTGTGGTTTGCAGAACTTGTTTGGAATCTAGAGGAAATTTTAGCGTTTCTTCATAGTTTTGCCGGTCGCACTCGCCGGTAAACAGCTCCGTACGTCGTTTGACCTTTTTCTGTCCAATAACGCAAGTAATCGAACTTCAATGCAATAACTATGGTCACATTAAGTTTTATCTGGTATCGTTTAAACGTCTTACACATAGAAGGTGTTCCCGAGATACTCAGCTGTCTTAAGTTTGGTGATGTTGCGCACGTCATGAACCGTGATGGACAGTATGCGACGTTCCTGCACCCAGCGCATTGTTATGCGCACAGCCGGAGTGCTCGACTCACGTAATTCGCTCTGCGCTTGCCATTTAATTGGAAGATTCCAGTCGAAATCCATCCGTTGAATGGTAGACACGGCTTCTGGCTTGGACAGTGTCTTCAAGACACGAAGACGGAGGATTAATCGTAGTTTGCTCAGTTGTCCAGACTGTCTGAGAGTAAACAAACCGCTGATTTCCATATGGTTTTTTTCCATTAGAATCCACAAGGGAACTTCAGTCCAACCGAATTTCTTTTTAACTGGGTCAACAGGGGCTTGCCCTAACTCCTCAACCTGTTCGCTAAAGATTTCAAACCTGATATAATCAATTTCAGGGTCCAACAGTAACATACAGGTTCTTGACTCCCATGTTGGATTATCGTTGAGCTCGACTACTCTGGTCTTGTATTCGTTCTTCCCCATAGTAGCGACACAGTATGGGGACGGTTTCGTATTCGCGTTTTTTCTGGAGAGTCCCGTAGCACTGTCTATAAATACGGTCAGCATGTACGCGGAAGGCTCGATGTCATCGTTTAAAGTGTGATAGCTTGGCAGAGCGGATTCTCGAGCACTTGCGCTTGTCAGATTTCTTTCTGCTGACAATCCCAGCCAGTGAAGTCCGATTCGCAGCCATCCTAAAGAAAGTTACAGACCACCACGTCTATCGAGACATTACGAGATTTCTACAGTGGTCATCGAAATGAGCGGTGACAGTATACAACACGACACCACTTGCACTTGGGAATGTGGCCATCACCAGTTGCACGAGGTCACTCCAATGCAGTAATACCTAGTTCGAGCCCACGCTTTTCGAGTTTGATATTCAGTAAGGAACGTACCAGTTTTGTTATCTTCTAAGCGGAACCACCTGTCAATTTTCCCGTCGTAGACTGCAGAGAGAACATCTAACTTCAGACGTCCAAGACTCTCATCACCAGACCTTTTATGTTTGTGGAAAACGGTAATTTTTATATACCGATCATCAGGCTTGTCAACTATGAATTCATAATAGGCACTGCAACGAAACCAGTAATCATGTTACGTAGATAATTATCCGTTATTATTTTATCCATAATCGGTTCTAACGAAAATGTTGTCACAAAAACCTGTACACCGCGGTAAAATTTTACGAAATTTCTGGCCGTTTAGATGCAAATTTTACGAAATTTCTGGCCGTTTAGAATATTTACCTCCACTTCGGGTGTGCGTTCGCTGCACGAATAGTACGGAATTTCTTCCCTCCAAATTCGACAAGACAATACGGACTGGATGGTCCTTTTGCCTGAAGATCGGCGCCCAGGCGCAGTAACTCTCTGCCTTCGTAAATCACAAGGCGTAATACATAATGAGTTCGTCTTCCTTCTCCCGTCTGACACGTCCGTACTTACTAGTGCGCTATTTTGTTGACGCTGGTACGCTTGTGATGACCTGATAACACAACTAGTTGTTAAAATCAGAGGAAATGGCGAGTTTAATGGCGCATATGGAATACTGAACGAACCGTACTCCATTTCAAACACAAACTGTAAGTACGCTGCCGACTGCCCCCTTTTCTAGCCCAAGTTGTGCAAATTCCAGCTGCGTCGTTTTCGGTCACGAAAGATTCGTTTTCCTGTGGCCGCGGTCGAGTTCAGTCCAAGACATCCCCTGAACTTTGTGGAATTGTGGTAATTTATAATCTGACTGCCTACCGAGCAATGAATTTTCCAGGTTTTCAGCTTTAAACTTCACCAAAACAATGCCCTGAAATTCTCCTTCTATGAATGCTGTGCATAAGATTCCATTGCCTGCCAAAAACGAAGCCGACTCTTCTAAGCAGCAGCTTCTTTGCCTTTTGCATTCTGAGTAAGCCTTTGAGGCTACTAAAAACTATGAAAACAGCAGAGGTTGCTCGACGTGTACTCGTACAGCTAACTGCAAAAACGCTTGTTAATCGGTAAATTTTGCGCCTGCCGGAACTGTGCTGTATAAGTTTGCGAAAGCTTCTTATTGTATAATTTTTTGCTCCATGGCTTCCGTTGGATTCTCTTGTTATGCAATACACCTGCAGTATATGCACACAAACATGATATATTTTCTGAGTTAGGTGACCTAATATACTGTAAATTGTGGAGCTGAGATTTGTGAAACTACAACTGCCAAGGTGGCAAAATGAAAACAATATCGCCATGCAATCAGCACGACTGTCGTGTAGATAATATTTAAAGCGTGGCATTTCCTTAAGCAAGAAAATATTCAAAATGCCGTAAAGCTGATAAGACAATGGTGGCTGATTATCGAGCTACAGTAGTGTACAGAGCTCCTGATCTGTGTCACAGGTTATGGTTAAGAACTCCTGCTATCTATTTCTGCTTCTATCCGTGATCGTGCAGTTGATCAATTAATGCTGCGTTATAAGGAAATTTTAGGAATTTAACGTGTTACAAAAACCATGAAATTATTTCGGTTCACCTTCCTATTAAGCTGGCTAGTAACGTTACAAACCGGTGCGTTTTCGGAGAAGGTTTGCGATGAATTGCCGTTTGAAATATGCAGTCTGGCAACGCAGTTGTCCCAGACAACCATCCGAATGCTCCTAGGCCAGGCCACAAATAATCAGACGTCGCTCCACGACCTGGTTTCCAATGTCTGTCAGTACGTAAAACAAACTAAAAGATAGAACATTCCTTTTCGAACGTACTACTGTAGTGTTCTTACAAGTTTGTTTGGATTCGCGGACCGTTTTTAGAATATCTTTTCGTCGCTCGCATAGGAAACAAAGTTCGCAGTTTATTCAGTACACCATAGCCAACGAAGTTTTATTAACGCAAAGTGCAACTAATCCTAATTGCACTTTGCGGTTCGAACGCTAACCGAACACTTCCTTAGTTCGGTTATCCAAAGCTGGAAATGTACAATAGTTGCTCGCTTTGTTGTAGAGCTCTGAACAGCACATCCCGCACTTGTCCCGACACTTTGACCTCCGCTTGCCTCTCCCTCAGTCCTCAGCTTTTCCAGGTCCGTTTGGCTGCCCGTGCCGCGCGGCTGTGCCACATCACCACGACCCCGGACACTCTGAACAATTTACTGGCGTGCAACAGCACAAGCTGGCTGTATGCATTCCAGACGATCCAAGGCTCAGTTATCGACGAAGTACTGCATCAAAACGGCTCGGTCGAGGGTCCAGCCGTTGATACCGTAGTGATGGGCGCTGAGTGCCGGTAACTAACGAGCGGATAAATTGCGAAATTGGGGAATAACAGCTGCTCTTTATTAAACGATTAATGGTGATCATTGCAGAATACTAAGGCAATACTATGGACAACTTCCTCATATTTTCGTCAAAGAACAATGTGGCGTAGAGCCAGGAAGTCTTCTTAGTGGATTCATGACCACAATCGAGGAAGGGTACGGTTGTGGATTATCGCTCCCGAATGGGTCACACCGAATTGTGACTAGTGTTGGAGCTGTTACCTTGACTTTTATTTTATGCTTGGTTGCAAAGTTAGTAAAGTTGCAGTGGTAACCACTCCCAGACAATCAATGACCAGTGTAGCTAGACAAACGTCTCCGGAAGACGAAGACATCAGGCGCATTGTATAATATGCATAAAACACGGAAGGAAGCACTTCCGTTCCTTCCAAATTCTTCCAATATTTTTAATTTTTTAATGATTATAAGGCGTACTAATTATGAAGCGGAAAGTATAAAGCAGAGACCGAATCGTAATCACTTCTCGGTTTTGCTACTTTGAAGTGATAATGCATGAAACTTCTGCAGAGACTTGTTCAGTGTGAACACGAACAAATGCACTGGAAAACAAAATACTATTCAGCGTGTACTCTGTATGTGTACCAAATTATTCAGCAAGTACAAAGTACAAGCTTGCGACCAGTACATAAATTGAAGCGAAGGATAAACCTGGATGATATCTGCAGTATAAATAACATTTTTAAGGAACAATCCTGATACGCACCAACGGCATTTGCCTGTCAACAATTATTATCTGCACATTTCTACGCTCGCAAGATTACTAAGAAGACGTTCTACTTCTTTAAATCAGGCAGTTTCTTAATCATTTGTCTGTTCCATTATGCTACATCTATTCCATATCGGCAACAATTGCTGTGTCACAATAGCTACCAATAACATTTGCGCAAAATGCAAGATAAACAACTGCCCTGTGCAGTCTTCATAATGAGTTAAAAAAGCCTACTTACAGCGGCCAGTAATAAATTTCAACGTCTGATCCGTCAAAAGATTTTATGGTTTACATTGCTAGCACTTAATATTACTGTGGTATAAGAATGGGACACGTGTTAGCCGTATGTGCCGTGGCAGTCTTCGCCACTTCGGCCAGTAATACAGTGCAGTTTGAGCCTCGCCAAGATGCCGTGGAGATTGTGGATGGTACGGCGTTGAATAAGCAGCTGCAGCTTGCTAGGACCAAGAATGATCTGACGATCAACGAATTTTTCGGAGGCGGATTATCTTGAACTTACCGCGTAAGTTACGCTTTTAAGCGCAAAGCCGCAAATCCAGGGATTGTAAAGACTGCAGTAAACTTTTTGGTATTTCTGGAAATGTCTCTTTTGCCTGCTCAAGAAAAACAGCAAGTTACCGTTAAATTTTGTTGCCTCCCATCATATGCTGACCTATCTTACTTTTTAGCCGAGATTGCAACTGTACCGAACCCACCCCGGCGCCAGCGGGTCCTGATATATCTCCAGGAGGTGCAACATAAAACCGGCCATGCGTATGGCATATCGAATAGCTTTATCGTACTGTTTTCATAATATTACCATTAAAAAAATTTCTCTTTCGTATGTTTGATGGATTTTGGATTTAAATTTTTTATCATGGAATCGTGGTGTTCGGTGATGTCAAAAATATAGTCTAAAGTTGCTGACCCCTTTTATTAATTAGTTTTGTCGGTTGTGAATTACTGAACCTGTGAATCACGAATACACCGGTGACAATGCACTACGAAATCACCTCGCACTTGCAAGTATTGTAACTGCTTCTGTGTCTTGCTTGTTATTGTTGTGCAAGTTACAGCAGTCATTAAAATTACGAGTATCTGTTGATAAACTATCTGACGAATCGTTGCAAAAATTGCGCAACCCAGTTTATAACACAGATCTTTACACTGAGCTTGCGCTGAAACTTCGAAGACGATACTTTGCATTATGAGCAATAATATGGTATCCAGTCCGCGATACATTCCATTGCTGATTCAATGTTTAATTAGACCAAAAGAAAGATACCCCCATTTGTCTTTCGAATAATAGAGACACTGATAAGATATATGCATAATAAAGAATCTGCGAAACATTGTGTCATGCGATGATAAGTGTATGTTTCACCTTGCCACACCGGCTGCCTGACGAAGCATTTACCGGTGGTTATATTTCCCACGGAAACGTTCACCGTTGTTACATGTTAATAAATAACAAATTTTCTCATTTTTGTATTGCTAAATAATCTCAGGCTCTCAGCGTACAATTTGTTTCGAAGATGGCCAAAGTTTTATATGTCCTGTTTTTGTCGATGATCTGCATTGGTCGCTGGTGCCAAGCACAGGATAATACAGCATGCCAAGTCGACATTGACACAAAATTCAAAGCCTGCAATGAACTCATCGAGGATCAAACGGTCACCATCCAGACGCCGTTGATGGATGCGCTGACTTATGGAAACTTTACCAACCTCGGTGAAATTGTTCGAGTGGTCTGCGCGTAAGTAACGAAATTTTAGCAACTGGAATCTGAAGATGTTTAGGAGCAGCAATCAATTTTAGCGGGTTTACCCAAGCATCGGCTTGCCTGGACGTCCATTCCACACAGTGCCCCTCAGACTATTCCAACTTCTTCCAGACTTTCGTCAAAGCCTACAAAATCTGTGCTGCCGACGACATCACCAAATATTTCAAGGATTTCTTCGAGTGCAACCATAAAGCCGGTATCTACGCCCACGCGGCCAACGTCAGCGCCGAAGTCCAGCTTGAGAAACTGGGAAATATAACGGCTAGCACGGGCAGCCAGCTCATGGATACCAATTGCCAGTAAGACGATTTGTACTTTAAGTAATTGTTACACGAAGCAGTACATGCGAATGACCTTTATTAGTAATTCAGTAAAAATGGAGCGAAAAAGGAAATCATAAGAACAAATGTTCCAGGTTTCTTCGCAAAATGCGCAAACGAGTTTCCGACGCGGAGCTGCTGGCGAAATGTGGTGCCGATGATCAGCAAGGTCTGGCCAAACTGTATGGACAACTGACCGAAGCGTTCGGGTGCAATTCCGCGACAGCACAACGAGGCTTTTTATCGTTTCTGTTGCTAGCGTTATTTGTCAGCTTACTTTCTATTTTCCGCAACAGTTAACTATTCTTATAAAAAGTCTGAAATCTTTTCTACATATGAAAAAAAGGTTGGTTAAACCATGGCGAACTTTCTATCACTCCAGTCAGCGGAATATGTCGTATAGAACAGAATAAATTGTTATCGTAAAAACATGCTCTTCGGTGACGGCAAAAATGTACGAGTATTCTAAAAATGAAAACTGCGAAGAGCTTTAATTAATTATGTAATAAATATCTTAGTCAGCTGAAGTCCGACAACGGCCGATGTTGACACTGCACTGCGGTATCATCCGTGCATCGTATTTATGTCACGATTGTTACCGATGTGTAGGTAGGCCGACGGCTATTCAAATTCCGAATGATAGTCTGCCGATAAATGATCTGACGAATTTTTGCAAAAATCGTGCCGCTCGATTAAAACCAGTCTTTACTTCGAGCTTACGCTTAAAGATTACAAGACAATACTTGTGCGTTATGAGCAATTGCTCACAACGCAGAAGTTACGTACTGCTGCTGTACTTATTAACAATGAAGTGTGCGAAATATTTCAAGGCTGATACTGCTGTTATTTCTCCGACTCGCGTCCTTGTTCGTTCGCTGATTTTACGAACGAATAGACTGCCATCAGCGCATCAACTCCATATGACTTCATCCATTAAATTTAAGAAATATTATTCACCGGCATTGAAATGGCGAAACTTTAAATATTTCTCTCATTAGTACGTAGGGCAGAAATCACTAGGCTGCTCTAGGCTGGACATTCATAGAACGCCTTGATCTTATTGATATCCAAATGTGTTAGGGAATCAACGCGTCCCAGGGGCTGACTTTTGGCCTTCTTGACGAACATGCTGACGGCGTTGGGTCCGGCAGCCGGGTCCACTTTCCAATTGTTAGGTCGCTGCAGAACTGAATCAAAATCGTACGGCAGACCAAAGCGCGGCAGTTCTTTGTCGGTTAGTTTCTCGAAGAACAACCAGTCCGCTGAAAATAACATATGTATTATGTGGAGCCAGTTAAACCAATGGACAGAAAGCTTCGGTTACTATAATCTAAACATTTTTAGTAGTTTGACAAAGTTTCCTTTACATTATGCGAAAAAAATCGTACCCTACATAAATTGCATCAACCACAAATATTCCAATTAACCACAAATAAGCAGCGAAAGGCTTCGTTATTGGTAGAGTAAGAATTCTTAAGAGCGAATAAAACAGATCGGTGTTAAATAGTTCAGCTTTAGCAGCTGCTGTATCAAAAAAACTTGAAGAACCAGTTTTTAAAAATTCTGAGAAACGTTATGATATGATCCGTTCATGTTCCGTTTCCAGAATAAAGTTAAAAAGTATGCGTGTGTACATTACGCAGTGTCATATTCCCAATAGAACCATCATGTATATCATGTACCGGCACCGTTGACCGGTGCACTTACCTTGCTTGATATTATTGAGGTTAACGGTGATGTAATCGTCGCGATCGCTGCGCAGATGCTCATCATTGAATCCCAGGACGTGCATCATCTCCCGCAGGATAGATCGCTTATCCATACAGTTCTTGCCCAGCATGACAATCTGCGCGCCACCCGTTCGCCCGATGGCTGATTGACACCTGGCCAGCGCGTACATTATGGTTGACATTATATTAATTGAAACAAATGCCGACACGTAACCTATTCAGTTCTTCCTTACTGTAGGCCCACGCTGAACTGCACATAACTGGTTTCGGGCTTGTCCTGGTTGTATGGCTTGAAGCGGACACATGTCATCTTGTCAAAGATTGGCAGTGCTTCCAGAATAGCGCGTTTATCAGCGGTGGCTAAAAAAAATGATAAACCGGATATTTTTTGCACAAATATCCTGCTCCGTTGTTGAGAGAAAAAAACTGGCTTACAGAATTTATCACTGATTTTGTAAGGAACAATTCCATTATTCCATTTCTGTGGGATCCGGGCTCCTGTATTAACATACGTCAAACACTATAATAATATTATTACTAGCAAAACATGCTTAACATGAAAAATAAATTAAACTTTAGAAGAAGATATTCGTATTTCTGGTAATTTAGCGCAGTGGAATTAAAACAAATATATAGAAGCTGTGAAAAGTATGCATAGTACATATTAGATGGGAAAAATTAAGAAAAATATTTGGCCTACAGAATCGGGATGGAAAAATAATATTTGAAATAATAAAGCTGAAAAATCGATCGGAGCGCTTACTTTGTGCGGATACAAAGTTATTCCAAGCCACTATGAGCACAGCGAACATTACGATGAAAGCTCGCTGGAATGACTCCATCTTCACAGAAGAAATATAAATCACGTTATAGTATAATATCCCCGGTCAATGTCAACACACACTGGATGAAATCAAAGTGGAAAATGTGTGCCAGTCCAAGATAAACGTTTACTGGAGCAGTGGCAGTCGGAAGAAAACCAAACACAACCACCCCGGCAAAAGTAGAACACATCAACTCACAAAGTTAGTAGCAAAAATATACAGTACATATCATGGTGCGCGGCGCAATCGAACCCTCTGGATATTTGGAACAATGCGTACAATGTGATTAATGTTTGGAAAGGAAGTACTCTATATCGCAGCGTTTAACATTGGGTACGATCAAGTGCATGTGAGTGCGTGTGCATTATGTATGCCATCTGCTAGCGCAGCACTAAAGATTTTTGTGAATTTCTTAATGAAGTGGGGGAAATGTTTATCTTATATGTGTTGTGATAGGGTGCGCAGTGCGCACGGCCTGGGAATCTCAAGAAAAGGTTGCTGCCGGTAATCCAAAAAAAGCAGTGGCGCTATTGTAGCTGTGTCGCCATGTCAGTGAGAAATTCAAATAATGGAAGAATGCCGGTTGTTTGTGCTGGTTTGTATGGGTTGTATAAGGATGCAAGAAAAAGAGCAGCGGCGTGCAAATATATCAATGACAACGGCGATGTGGACAATGTGTTAGTGTTATAAAACAGTGCAAGAATGCACGGAAGTTATTAAATACATGATACGCCGAATACTGTCAGCACTGATAGAATATTCGGTTTCTTACAGCACATTTTTTATAATTACCAACTCGCTTTTGTGTGGCGTGCATATACATGTACTATACGAGGAAAGCTTATAAATTAGTTCTTATTTTTGATACTTCCATTCAATGAGATCATCACGCCAAACAAATTCAAATAAGCAATGTTTACTTTGAAGCATTTGTATATATTTATATTCTCGCCTAGTTTTAATCTACAGTAAAAACACAAGCAGGTTTTTTTAAATTTTTAAAGTATTCGTTCGTTTCACTTCAGCTTGTGCTAAAAATGGTGGCTCTTTTCTCCTATGTATGGCTGACGTTTTAGAACTTTGCAAGTCTTTGCTTCAACACCATGTTGGTTTTTGATAAAAGCAGATCTAATTATAGTATATGGCAAGTAATTGCGCAAACAGGTTTACTGAATTTCATTTCGGAAACTAATGTCATTCTTTGTTGTAAATTGTACGTAGCAATTTTTTCCGCCACATGTAACTCGAATAACTTTGGAGATTTATATGCAACCGGCATATGATTTCCCCCAATAAATCGTCATCCGCGTATACACATGACCGCCAAGTGATGCGCCATTGACCACACTTTATGACATCCATAATATTACATGATTATATCGGATGTACACTCAACATCCGTGCACCATCTGTAACCATCCTCAATTACGGCTCGAGAGTGCAGCGGAAGTGGACGGATAATTGCGGCAATTTACATGCCCCGTTCTTCGAAGACGGTGCTAGTGAGCGCGCGGTGGAAAATGGTAATGCCGGCATACATATATACGTCATTGAGATCGGTATATATACGGGTATAATTCATACGTGTGCGCATCTTATGTGCTACACTATGGTTGCATTCAGGGGCCAATTGTCAATCAAGTCGCCTATTAGGGATCTAATGGCTTAAGGGCCATTATACCAACGGGGGAAGATCCTTGTTCGACCGGGCCGGCGACCTCGATCGGCCCAGCTGATCAGCAGCAATTACCCGCGGTGCACCTTCGTATAATGGCAGCGGTTATGGCCATGGATCTGCAATTGCACTGTACACCGGAAGCTGCACCGGTGCGCATACCAGCTGCAAATTGTCGGCATTTACAACTTTTATCGGTGGCGTATCTGTGATGATTCTATATATTCTGTATGAATGTTCGCGTCATTTAAATATCAATAGCTTTTACTATGCTTTTTATTATATTAATAGCTTTTACTTGCACTTTGTATTTCCGCATGTAAAAACAAGAGGCCGAAGGCAAAATATGAGTATATAAATTAGCAAAGCACAAAACACCGCTTTTAACAGACGTAGAGAACAAATTTCCAGCATCGTACTGTACAAGTAACGTAATATAGAATATGTAAAGTATAAATAATTATCAATCCGAACATTTACGCCCTCTTTCATTTTTCAACAATGAAGTATCCAACTAAATTAATTTCAGCTATCTGTAACGAACGTGCGGCACTGAAATCATGAACTAGATTTATTACTGTCGCCGGCGACAAGTTACTAACTTGTTACATAGCCCAACAGCCATTTTGTGCTGTACATTACCAGCTCGACAAAAAAACTTGATTTATTAACCATCGAAATACGGATTCGCACAAATACCGGGCTTGATCATTTCCTGTCGGAAATTACTGTTCTTAGCATCGTCATCGAAATACGTATTTGTGCATACCGAACAGTCCGAAATTACTCATTTCCTTCTAAACGAATAAATATTATATTACCCATGCAGTACTATTATTATTGCATCACTCGAGGATATCTCACCCCAAGCGTGCGGGTAATTGGTAAAAGTTTTCAATTAGCAATAACTATTCCTCTGCTAGGCATCATAGGAATAGTACTGCCCGGTAATAATAATTCGGCGTCCTAGCTTAAGTGATAATTATGGAAAAATGTAATTACGTAATTGGGGCGGCCGTTTGCAATACGGTACTACACCATCTGACATGTTTTATTGAACTTTTACGTTACAATAAAATTTTCTAGAAGCGTTTGTTTACGAAAATGGTTTTGCGAATATGTAGAATGTGCGAGCTAGTTTTTGATAGGTCATGTTAATTAAAGCAGTACAGTATACGAAGGACCGGCTCAGGACGTGGTCAAATGTAGGAGTCGGTAATTACCACCTGTACCCTCGCGATGGTCACAGAAAACCACCGTAGCGTCAAAATTAAAGGTTTTTGTGTAGAGTTCTATGCAATCAGCGAGTAACAGCAATCGTATAAAATCGCCATTAACCTGTAAACACCGCGGAAGGACGTAGGAAAAAAAGCCGGCCGGCATTTTCGACCGTTAAACAATGTGTACGCTTTTCACTCGATCCGCTCGAAGTTGTAATCACCCTAAACCACGAAAAACACCGGGTACAACGGACAAGCCAGTACCCGCAACAAAAACCGGTTGTGTTTGTCTCCGCCGAGCGCGTTTAATTATCCGCACTGCCTAATTGCTCCGCGCACAGCCCATAAATAATCATGTCAAACGATTACTGGCTGTTTGATCGCGTGATACACCAAGAAAAATTCGGTTACATTGTATGTTACACTTCCACCGCACCATGACTCTACACAATAGCGGGAAAATTACGTAAAAACAGCGGTGCAGTCACGTTTAACATGAATAAACAGGTTACATTGTTTACCTATAAAATGCCGGCTTACATAACAATTTTCTATCGCTTCCGCGGCGGAAAGAATTGTTACCGGGAAAAATTTACATGTTTTTCTCCGATACGTATACACATTACTGTGTATGCACACATTTTCGCCGGCGTTCTCTTCTTTGGACTGTGGAACCGACCGGTGTTTTAACCGATTAGCGTCGTTGTTGGCACAAGCAGTTGTCTTTGTAAAGCGTACACACACGTACACAATCACGTTAACCTTATTGAACGATTAATCATTTTGCACTCAACTGCGACAGAGACCGCGACAGAGAGAGAGAGAGAAAGAGAGATAGGGCAGAGAGAGAAAGAAAGGTTATCGCGATCGTTGTCGTTCACGTGAGACCAGGGCAATTGACTGCCATGGCAGAAACAATGCCTCATTACCCAGCGCACATTATCAATGTTTCATTAACCTCGAAATTGTTTTTGTCTTTTTCGACTTTAAAAAGCATCCGTTCCACAGTCCAGTGTCATTGGTGACAACGCGTGTCCCAGTCTGTCTGATAAATCCACTCTAACCGATAGTGTCCATTTTCACTGTCACAACTGGCAGTTGTTCTTGTCGGAAATTAGTCGGGTGATAAACAGTGTTGTCCTAATTGTCACAGCAGTGAAAAGTGTTTCTCTATTTATCTTCCCTCCACAACATGCCACCGTCGCCGACATTTTCGCCGGGACTAAAGTAATCGTTTACGCAAACATCGCACATTTTTATTAACACTCTAAACCGGGGCGCGCATCAGCAGCGGCAGACAGAGGGGGGAATCCTCATCCGATTCACCCATTAATCACGATCAATACACTTAAACAATTGGCCTTTCTCCTCGCAGCAGCAGCAGCCACCAACTGGACACGGCACAAGTTTAACGAACGGGCCGCAACAGAATCCACACAGTCACACACGCATACCGCATTTTCTTTCTTTGCCTCGTACAAACTTCATCCGGAATCTTTTTCTCTCGTCGCATGCTTATTGCTGCACAGAGAGAGAGAAATCAAACACACACACATACACAAGAAAAGACGCAGCAGAGCGTTACGTATCAGTTCAACTGTCAGTACAGTACGAGCCACTCGGCTCCTCCCGTCGATTAAACACGCGCCTTTGTTCAATCCGCAATATGCCACTGCACCGCGCTTTCGTACGCGTACATACACACACGCGCTGCAAGTCCGATAAGCGGCGCATACACGGATGCAACGGCTGTCAACGGCAGTTGATACGGCGCCGGCGCTGTAAAGCGTGCACAGTTGATACGGCGCTATAGCGTGCTGCAGCGGTTGATCAGTTGATACACGTACAGATACGCTGGGCGCATATTCCGTGTTTGGCTATAAGCGATGAAGGGCCTCGCTTCTAATCATTCGTAAGCTGTTTACTAGTTTATTACCCACACCGTGCTCTGTGTGATAATAATACAGCGCGTAGAGATCGTTTAGAGAGAAAACTCAACGAATACAGTCATGGCGTGTTGTTGATGTTGTTGTTGTATGCTGCACCGGGGTATCATTGACACATCCGAAGGTTTTTCGGTGATCTACTTGTTCAGTCATGTGAGCCCTGCTGAATGGCCTCGAAAGCAGATTTCCCTCTGTAGAAAGCCCCTCTCAAGGCGTTGCTTGCATTTAGCCACTATCGGCCAGTTTTTCGCGGACAAGATGCAATCGTAGCGATTGTACGCGCTCATCCCGCGCGCGCAGCTTCAGTATTGGATCCCTGAAAGTATTCCCGAGAAAGCTAATCCGCCATATATATATATCAAAGATGTCCTCCTCCAAGCGCCCGGCCAAACGCTCACTGATCGGACTGCGGGTGGCTGCCAAGCGCGACACCGGCTTCTATGAACCGGCCACCGTCGCCGATGTGACCAATAAGCAGGTAGCCGGTGCCAGCTTCGCCGGCGCCGCACATCCTGCCCAGGGTGATAAGCTCCTGCTCAAATTCGACGACGGCAACCAGCAGTGGTACCTGGAACGCCAGATCATCGGGCAAGGTGAGTGTCGGTTGTGTAGGTTTCTCGCAACCCGGAGCTTTCTCCCGAAATGCCGGGTGTATCATTTTCCTTAATTTCACCGGCTCCGCCCAGTGTCCGGGATGCCGTGACGCTGGACTAGTGCATTAAATGGTTATTAACCCGGCAGATGCGCGCAGCAGCATCAGGCCGGCGGCTGATGGTAATTATATGGGAGGAAATCTAGCAGAAACCGCCGATCGCTGCCCCCTGTTTAAGAAAACATCGATAACATATACAAGCGGGCGTCCTCGCGCTCGATAGAAACCAGGCATAGCGTATTGTTTGAGCAAAGTGAAAATATAGATTTTTCTTTTCTTTGTCTGGCCACAGCTTCCGGGAGGTTTCTGCTCGGATGCCGGCTGCACACATATACTCATGTGTGGCCATTTGTGTGCCGTGGCATTTTTGCCGGTTGCCGGCCGTTGCAAGCGAGAGCAAACATTGTGCATTACTCACCGGTTGTATGTCGTTAATTACAGTGATTCCTGTAAAAGCAATTTTTAGCAGTATATAGAAACACTGCAGAGGGTTTACCCCGTACACACGCATAGAACACTCGTGGCTGATAAAAAGCCCAAGTGGATAGGAGAATCGATCGTCACCCGGTGACGCAGCCAGCACCCATATTTCCTACTAGGCCGATCAGCTGATTGCTGCCGGTTGTTACTCGGAAGTGGAGTACGCGCGTGAGCTGTGCGTTGCTGGCTTCTATGTGCGTGTGTGAGTGTGCACTGTGTGTGTATGTGCATACAGGAGTGCACTCGACTGCCGCATAACTCCCCTGATAAGGCGCCTGTGTTCCCCCCGTGTTGTGTTGAGGGGGGTGTAATTGGCCGAGCCAGTCCAGCCTCTTGACCCAACCGCGTCAAGGCTTTCTTCTCATGTAGAAAGATACACATGCATGATACATCAACACACGTAGTAGTGACCGTGGTGTGTCGGTGGTGGAAGGCTAGAAAAACACGTACCGGCTGCTAGACCGTGTTATTATCAGGGCAGGCTGCAAGAAAAAGCGTTGTGTCCATTTTTTTGCCGGTCTCTCTTTCTCTCTCGATCGCTGTTCTTCTTCGCTACCTACGCGTCGTCCTTATCGGTAGCGGGGCCTGCTAGTAGAAAAAAACGCAGCGGTCGGTGGCTGGTGCTCTGCACAGCTTGACCCACTCTCTCATCAAGCGATGTAACCGGCATTTTTCGTGTGCAGTTGCAAAATCAGAGACCACAAAGAATTCTTGTATTCGATCGTTGAAAAATACTACATGTGTGAAAAATTTGCAAATGTGCAAATTAACAAAAATATTATAGAAGTACTGTTTTATAAAATAATGTTATTAAAAATATTAAAAATATCATTAACAGAAGTGTGATTTAGGAAACACTTTAAATATCAAAAACGTTTTACTTGTACTGGAAAATTTGCGCGGCTTTGTTTGAAAATATTAAAAATACGCTTGCATGATTTGCATTAAGTGCGCAAAGCGTTTAAGTGAATTTCGGTGTTTGGTAGTTTTTTTTTCACCGCGGTCGCTGCCAATTCTCTGCATCGTCATTCAAAGCAGCGCACACAACAATGCGGGTAACTTCCATTTGGCCGGTAAACATTCAGCCAACGGCGCGCACAGTTTCATTTGTCCACAAATTCAAAGGAAGGAAAGAGCAGAAAAAAAGCCGGTATATTTGCATGCCGGTGTGTGCGCTATGCCGGTTGCATAATCGCTGCATCAAACGGGGCTACGTGCACATTTATATACACACAGGCCGAGAAAACCGTACAAGTCAAAATGTCGTTAATCGATCTGAACATGTTTCCTGCGGGGCGTTAGCTGCTCACCACTGTGCGCACAGGGAAGTTACTTGCGCGGATGACAGTGTTGCCGGGGTAGAAAAAAATTTAAATGAGAATAAAATGTACCCCGTGTAATAAATAGTGCAATGCGCAGTCAGCCGGTTGATATTAAGGGCGCTTATGTAACCGCGTGCAAGTATCACCGCGTTACGACATGACCGTATTAATAGTAGAGAGATAGAGTGAGAGAAAATGCACAGAGAGTGCGAGCCACGGTTGCGGCCAGATTAGAATGCTTTGGATTATGCTTATGTTGGCACAAAATGTTTTCTTAACATACACGAGCCGGTTTTTCCATTTAATAATACCGGCTTTCTAAGTATGATAAGTGCATCATTACTGGTTCGCTGAATACGCCAAACTAGTCTATTTATTATGCAGTGCAGATCAAGAACAATAAGAGTATGCTTAATGGTAAAAATAATTTTCGCTATCGAGAAAAACATTGCCGATAAGCAGAAACTTCCTCCTCACGTAATAACATTGACAAATTTTTGGTCTGTAAATTTTTGCAACAGTAAAATCATAATAACAAAAACTTTTATAAATGTTTTTCTTTTCTGCAGTTAAATATTTAATGTAATTTTATCTGCCTTGTGGGTGTATTTATTGTATTTTTAAAAACTGCAATTTAGGCCACGCAATCATGGGACAATATATTCGTGGCTATATTTGGGTATGGCCAGAAATTGTTTGGCGAGCATTAAAAGGAGCAGCTGTTTAGCAGCGAGGGGTAATAATCAAAAATTCATGTGGGAATTTGCAACCTAATTTCCTCCAAACAAATCCGAGATAAAACCAACAGTTATCAGCTTGTGCAGCGATCATTTGGCAGTGGCCGAGGCCTGTTATTGTAAACTGACATACTATTTTCCCGATAAAGCCCTACTCGGTCCAGATTTAGCAAAAATTAATTCACAGATTGCATCACGTTTTTCTGGCTACAAAACTCGCGCGGCAGTGAACGCAACAGTACAATGTCCATCTTGGGAACCTACTTCCGCCGCGATCAGCACACTGCGTAATGCGATCGCTAACTTGTAAACAAAATTTTGTGATATGTCCTTTCGCACAAAAATTATTATGACATTTCTTTTTTATGCCATTTTCGTTTTATTTATTAAGCGGAAGCGTATTTAAATTTATTTCGATTTAATTTGTGGTTTATTGTAAATGTATTTGTGGAAGCGTGCGTTTCGCGGTCTGTTTATTTTATGTCCGATTGTTGCGTGATTGTCGTGTGGTGCAAGAGCAATTAGGTATTTTAACGATGGGCGATTAGAAGCAAGAAAAATCCTTCAGCTTTTTCTCTCTGTTGCCGGCTATCTCTCACTGCTGGATTTTAATTAAGCGCAATTTCCGGTTGGTGTTGTTGAACTGGCACACACACCAGCATATTGCATGCCGGCCGGCGCAACAGCAAAAAACCGTCCCCGCTTTGACAAAACGGCACAAAGTCTTGATGTGCTCCACTTCTGTCGCCTTCTTTCACATTGAAAATCTGCGAGTGCGAAGAAGCAGCCCTAGTTTCCTTATCGCGCAGCGCGCACTCCTTGCCGGGTTTTTTGGCACGTGTCCGTGCAGTGCTTCCGTTGACGTCAAGCAGCCAATCGGGCGGTAAACATTCCGGGGAAGGTCAACTACCAAGTGCCGGCGCATCATCCCTTAATTGATGTGCGCGCAGTCACACAGGCGTCTAAAAATATTTTCTTTTAATCAAAGCACTTTTCACCGCACTACCCAGAAGGGTTACGTAACCAGGGTGTTCTACGGTCAACATGCTGAACAAGCAGCCCGTATTTTCCCCATTCCATACAGTTATCAAGGAGGGGAAAGTTACACGACCTTGTTGCACTCGCTTATCGGACTTCCGATATCCGATATATGTATACGGCCGGCCGTCATTTTTAACGATACAATATGACCCACATTGCGCCGCAGTATACAGTATCGGCACTATACAGCGTTTAACATGACCGCGACCATTATGGCCGGAAAGTCAAATATGCCAATAATAAATGCCGGCATATGTTTGTAAGTGGTGCCATTTTGGACAAAGTTCTGTTGATCCTACTGATTTAATGATGTTAGTTGAAACCCAGCGAATAAACATTGCCCATAACCGGGCGCGCATGTGCTGCCACGACTATACTATACGCGGACCTGTATATATTGTGGCCGCCTATGAAATCCCGCAGTCAATGACAGGGAACATAAGTTTATAATAATTACAACCTGAGTAAACAGACGCTTTGACACCAAAATTGATTTCTCTCGTTAAGGAATGCACTTTCCAGCCAGAACTGATCAACGTCAATCAAGAATAAATTTTGTAAATTATTTATCAGAAAACAAGTTCAGATTTTTGTTCTTGCTTGACGAGGAAGTTAATAAAAAAGTTTTCTCAAAATCGTGTACCGCTAAAAGTTTTGACATATCTACTGGCGGCGATGTTTCTCTTATTCTACACTCATTTCATCAGCCGGATTAATTTCAGTGTCGCGGTAGCCGCAGTGCGCGAAATGTGTCCATCGTCAAGGAAAAATCGCTAATCAAACACTATTATGCTCTCCACATCACCTCTCGTCCGTGCTGTGCTGTCTTTCTTTATGCTATGTATTTCTCTCTCTCTCGTGCATTCGCCGCATGATCGGATTGGCAATATGATGGAAAAACCGGTTTTTGTTCATTCACCAGGCGGATTAACATTCACGCATATCATAATTTGTATGGTGCAGCGCACATGTGGTGTAAGCGATGTGTATCTCGTTGACACTAATGTATGTATCGAGTGGCGACAGCGCGGCTGAGCCTCGTTTTTCTTTGGGCCATTATCATTACGAAGCGCTTGCTCTCTCCCCAATAACCACTCCTAATCCCTTACGCCTTATCAGGGGATCAGCCCCGGCAGTTGGTCGCTGGAGAAACATGGTGCGTCGATAAGCGTCCAAGCAAATTGCCTTGGAATAACACGCTATCGCCCGTCCATTTTGCTGCGCCGGTACGCACAAATAACAGGCGTTGTTACAGTACAGTAGGCTCTAAGTGTACGCAACAGCTTGCCATGACCAAGCTGCCCACACAGCCGCGCAATGAAATATCCTCTTGAATGGGGTTTTGTGCAGCCACACACAAAGATTGACACAACCAGAGAGAGGGAAAGCAGGCACATAACGACGCAATGGATTTAGTGCTAGTTGAATGGTCCATTCTTCGTCGTGGCATTCTTCGGTATTTTCCGGCCGAACACAGGACGTGGCTGGCCGCTTAATAACGGTCGTTTGTGGTTAGTAGGATATTGAGTTCGCAAAAGTTCGCTTTTCCCGGTTCCCACAGAAGCCGGTCATTTCAGTCAATAGCTAAAATAGCCGTTAAAAATTCGCTCAACTCTCCATTCCGGACGTTCTTTGCCTTCGACTCTTGTGAAACAGGTTCGGAATTTAATTCTGTGTTTCTGTAAAAATTTTGCAAATTTTATCTCTATTTAATTTTTAGAAATAATTAATAGTTTTTCTTCGCAAATTATATTTTTACCAATAATAATCAGGAAAACTTTTTTCGGATGGCTTTCCAAAAAACATATTTTCCGAAATGGCACTTTTCAAATTGATGGTGAATTTCGTTGGCGCGTTACTAATAAAGTATGCAAATTTTCTCTCTAACTAACTTTTACTTTATCGGTAGTTTTTCTTGGAAATTGTATTTCTACCAAAATTGTGCTGGCCAAAAGTATTTTTTTCGGGTGGCTTATGAAGAAACCGAATTTCTGAAGCCTCTTATCAGGCAAATCTGCGGCGAATTTCCTTTGGCACGTCACTTCGTTCCTCTCTCACTCGCCTCTTTCAGAAACAGCCGTGAGACTCCGCAAGCGAAATTTTATCGATGTTTTCTTTCGATTAGGCATCAAAAGGCAGTGATCGGGTATCGAATTTCGGTGTGACAATGATTTATGGAATGACAATGGGTGGCGTTTTTGATTAGGTGTGCTTGTGCGCTGCGGCCGTATCAGCATGGCAGCGACGTGAAAATTTAAGTAGGCTAGATCAGCCTAGATGTAATACACGGGCACTGTTCCGACTCGCCATCGGACACTCGGCCTGGTTTTTCTCAGCGCGGTTGAACACCTGGCGTTTTCCTGCTGACTACCGTATTACGCACAATGCATACGAAATATACTTACACACATTCATTTCCATGGAGATTCTGGTCGTTTGATAGAAAATTGACCTAACGGTTGGCTGCGCTGTTGATAATGATTTCCAATGTGGATTTGCTTGAGGGATTTGATGGGTTTTTGAAATGTTCTCAGATTTATGGGCACGTTTCACTGGGCTGCTGTGCACTGATGCGTGCCACATCGACAACAATAATTTTTGTCATCGAGAAAATCGCTGCTATTCGCACTGCTATTCGAATTAAAGTGTACAGTTTCCGTACCATGCACGACTTTGAATTGAATTTTGTCCAATTACAGATTGCTTTGTTTGCTTAAACCTTTGACTCTGTCTTCACTTCGATCAAATGTGGCAAATTTGAATTATTTTAGCAAAGCTAATTTTTATAATTTTGTTCTACAATTCTTAATAATTTTAGTAGCTCTAAAATTCGAAAAAAATTTTTTAGACAGAATAGAATTTTTCTAGCTTATCACGATAAATTTTTCGGATTGCAGCGAAATAGTTTTGTCAGATTTCTTTGCACACAAAATCTAATATATATATATATTGTGTATGCGGAGAAATCTGCAACTGTTTGCCAAGTTGCCAACCGCAATATTCCACCGGATGGCCAACAGTTGCACTTTTAACATGAGGGTCAAAAACCGCATTTATGCCGGCTGACTTTAAACCCGATGGCTGGGCCATTCTCTTTCACTTGGCTATAAACTGGCAATTGACCGAATTTCTCCATAATTGAACGGGTCTTTTATGAGCCATAATGCCGGGCATCTTTGCCGTTTAACGATGCAGCACGTTCGGTACGTGTATTAAAAATCTCATAGAAATTCCATAAGGAAAAACCGAACACGGGAAAACTGCATTATACAAAAAAATATGTCGAATTAAGAAACTGCTGGGCAGTTAATTTTAATGCATTGCACGCACAATGCACGTTAATGTGACGCCTTCGTTGCGCGGAAATGGAGCTCGTGATAATCTTGGCTGGGCTCGTTTCAAGTTCGTTGCGGTGCTATTGAAATCCTTTATTTACCGAAGTGGCGAGCAGCGGCCAAAAAATCCTGTTCGGCCGGTTGGTGATTGCGTCAAATTGTTCGGTCGAATAAAACACTCGGTAGCCGCTTTTTTCTGCGGTTAGGGATGTATGCGACATTAGCCGTTAAACTGCCAAACTGGGTGGTCAGTTGTTTGACTGGGCGGTCAAAACGGCGTTGGTTAAACATTTTTATTTATCACGTAACTTAATCGCATACAATTGTTTGCTTTGGAGTTTGGCGCAATTATAAAAAAATACCAAAATTATTTTATACATTGTTTAAAAGCAAATCAGAATTTTGGCAAATTCTTCTGCTAGGATTTTAACCGCATAATCGGATTAAATCCTGATTTCCCTCAGTTTTCAGTAAATCGCAACGGGAAGAATTATGAATATAATTCCTTAATGCGCCACACGATCTCTTGGCCGGATTAATTTTCTTGAACGAGCCGTCTGAAAATTGTCAGGGATTAGCATTATTATTATGGAGTAATGTGCAGTGAGGCGTGGCCGGCGGATCGTGAGAAGCCCATTGACACCGCACCTCGGGGGCTCGCTGTGCGTTCGTTCGCTCACACCGGCTGCTGCTGCGTGTACAGTGCAAAATATTGCCGTGATACAGTGCACGGCATTCCCGGACGCCCGAGTGCCGTGGCGTTGGTTGGACAATCATACTCGCGGCGTTCAAGTACAAATTAATATTTACTCGGCTGAAACAGTAGCTGACAAGAATGATTACTTTAGCCGCTAAAGTGCCGCTTGCCTTTTATCGCTCTCCGCGTGTGCATTAATGTTGCTGCGGTGTTGGCCGTTATGTGTGTGCATGCACTTGGCTGAATGCCGTATATATGCACTCCAATAATGACCATGGAACATGGTTGGCAGCAGGCCGACCCATTCCCGGCCGTAAATTTACTTTAATTTATATGCAAATTCTTTAATGAAAAATGTGCTGAGGTTATTCAATTAGATGACAATGCCGCACGCGCGCATCCTGTGTACATAAGCGCCGGAATAGGGCGACCTTCTGGAAAGGGCAACCCACCAGATTTTGCATAAAATATATTTCAGCTAATTTATCCAACGAATTTCCGTTTGAAATTTTTTTTCCTTTGGTTTATTGTTACAGTATATAAATTTACTCTTACATTTTGGTATCTTTTCGTTATATAATGAACTTATGACTATATCTAAAAACAATTTAAGCAGTGATTTTTGCATTAATTTCATAACTGATTTTCAATATTTTCCCTGTTTTTGTATTTTTATGATCAGTTAAATTTCGGCTAGCATTTTTGTAATTTTTTCGTTAAATTTATGATTTTACCTTAAACAAAACTTTAAGCAGTAATTTTTTTTCAATAATCGGTGATGGGCGATCGCCGATCTGCAATATTTTCCAGGTTTCGTATTTTAAATTAGGCTACGTTACAAAGGCGTTTTTCTGTTCATTCTCTGATGTAACCGGATATGGATTTACGAAACATAAGCCCGGTAAAAACGGTATTTCCGTGCTAGCGCCACCTTGACACCTTATCAGCGATAGTTCACCGATAACTCACCGTGCGCTCGGACGTCAAGGGCGTCTGCTGCTTATAACTTTCAAGCGGCGGTTGCCAGGCCAACTGACCTGCATTCTGCCGGGTAATCGCGCCGGTTCCCCGTTATCGGTCATTTGTCCGATATAATTGATTACTGACATATTCTCTGCCAATTCAGGAGCCAGTGCAAACGGCTATCGCGTCCGCTAATGTACCACCCGGTTAATATATGTCAATTGTGATAAATTTAGTATTCTATCGTACAAATTTTTATTTGATTACCTGATAGACCATATAGAGCGGTGTATTATTGCATTGGGTATTTGTGCCGGCCGGCAACAGTTTGGTCATCCGTCAGCAGTTGTTAGCTGTGAGTGATCAAAGGTACTTTCCGTGTTTAGCAGCACTGTGCGCAAATCCAACGCTTGCCGGTTTCCGGTCTGCGAATTTACGCCGGTGCAAACCGGTGTTTTTATTGCTTTTGATCTCTTTCAATTTACAACCATTCCGAAATACGCTAGAAAAAAATTCCGGGCAGGTAAAAAAAATGTTTAAAAATTCTAGTACCAAAAAATGGACCAAAATTCTGAAATATTGAATTTAATGGTTGTTTATTTGTTGCAGGGTTTCAGTCGATTAATTCGGCGTGCCTGCCAGTGGGCCAGTTAGTGTACTGTACCGTGGGGCATCGTGAGACGTCCGGCCGGATTGTCGGCAGCGTGGCCGGCAAGAGTCCACAAGTGTTTGAGATTGCATTAGAGGACGGAAGTGAACGGCGCATCCAGCGCAAACAGGACGATATGCGTCTCATTAAGTCGCGCAAATCCGCTCGCATTACGGCCGACAAGGACAAGGACTACCATTCCTTGGCGCTGGGCAAGATTCCCCACGACATCTCACTGGAGTCGCTGCCGGAACTCCCGGTCCCGTCGTTTTCCATCGCCACAAAGTAAGCAAATTAGTGAAATTACAGCGTCGACACTGAACATCGGTTCATGTCATAATTTACGCGAATGGTGCAAAGATCTTCGCAACAAAAATTATTTCTGAAAACTAAATAAATTTTATTACAACAATATAGTAAATTTATTTGCGATTTCTGTTCTTTCATTTGGTGATCGATTTTTAAGAGAATTGTTTATTTGCTGTTAGGCTTATTTTCATAAAAATATTCCGCAAATTCGCATTTAAAAATTCTCGAGATTTATTTTGATACATTCCGGGAAATTGATTACTTGAGAAATTTTTTTGCGGTCGATGATTGGCGGTGTATGACACGTACGGTGAATGAGTTGGAAAGCTTCCAGGCTGTGGCATTCTTGTTGCTGAGCTAATGCGAATGCGAACAGCAAGCGGAAATTCTCCTTCTGATAACAACCGGCATAATATTATTTCCGTGTTCACTTTAGGCGAGAAAATGCGAATTGCTTATGTTGGAGAAATTCACCGGCAAATGTACGATGAAGAGGCTCACGTGCGGTGCGCTTGCATTTGTAGGCGAAAAATCGATTTTCACAGTAACCTTCAAAACTCCTTCCCCTGGCTTACCATAATTAACCCAATCGGGCAAATTAGCAACGGCTGAATTTTTGCTAATGCATGAGCTTCTTTATCTTGCCGGAAATTTCAAGATATCAAATAAACAGTAGTATTTATTACAGGTTTACAAACTAAACGATTTCTTGTGATTTTAATGTTTTATTTATAATTTTTTGTTTGTGTTGGTAAAGAAATTTTTAGTGCAAGATCCATTTATATATGTACATAGTACTACTACGTATTTTGTATACTGTGTGTACATAATTCAGTTTTTGCGTTGGCCATATTTTTTATCAATTTGAGTGCTCCGTGCAAAAGTGAATCATTGTGATTGAATTGAATATTATTCTAACGGCACGTGTCTGGGCGCTTTAAAAGCGAATTATCAGCGATGCGCTTGCCAGCTGGAACGGTACCGGCCTGGATGGACGCGCATAACCGTCATGTATTTTCCCGGGCAGAGATCCATTTGTGCGATGCCCGCACACCCGGCGTTATATGAAAGCCCCCATAAATCATTCCGTATCACTTTCCAATCCCTGTCAAAACTTTTTGACGTTCACCACCATCTCCAAAACAAATCACGATAATTGCTTAAAATGCGACGGAAATTACATACAGCCTCGTTAGAAACGAGCACTCGCCGGCGTTTATACAGTTGAATTTCACGGGCTGACGTGAACCAAAGGGAAAACACTTGTAAATTGTTTATATTTGCTACTAAAATGGTTTATTTGTTTTGAGCTGTGGAAGAAATAAAAACAAAAATAAATTATTAAACACTTCAGTATATTATAAGCACGTATAAATAAATTAAGTATCGACCAAAAATATTACATATTTAAAGGCTTAAATATGATGTCATCTACAACTTTGGCTGCGCACATTTTGTATTTGCAGAAAATTGCAATTCTGTTTTGAATACACTACTCCAGTTTTTTTTAAAAAATCTGCCGGTCTCCAATTATTTTATGCAAGTTATTTTTTTACTTCTTTTATTTTTCATAAAATCTGTCAAATACTCCCACTATTTTTTCCTGTTATTTTTTATAAATCTGGCAATCTTTTCGTTGAATTTTATTTCGGCCCAGGTTAATTTTAAAATTTCAGGGAACACCAATATTTCACGGTATTGCACGGATAGTTTGTTTTTCGTAATTACCAAATGCGCTGATCCGGCCAGCTGCGTCACCGCCCACACGATGGCCGCTGCAAGGTCGAATGCGGAACCTGGGCTGGCTTGTTATTTTTAAAATATATCTCCGCGCCAGTTGGATGTGTTTTCTTGCCGGCGTTCAGTAATACCGCTGCAGTCAGCGCGCCCGGTCCCAGCCCCGGCTGCAGTGCTTCCTGTTTAATGTCAAGTGACATAAGCGCCACTGTTTGACGTTTTAATAAGCGCGCACATTCAGCGATATATGTACACACTGTACATATATAGGGGGCAAAAGTAAACGTGTTCCACCGTTCCCCTGTACTACTGCCGTCACCCGACTGGGATTTGACGTTGTGGCTGAACATGGCACTTACCTACCGCGCCAGATTTAACCATATGTATTGCCGTAACGTCACACTCCAGGCGGGTGACGGTAGCAGTACAGAGGAACGGTGGAACGCGTTTACTTTCGCCCCTTATATGTGGCGGCACGAGTACAGGACACACAGTATAGGCACACTGTGTGGGCAATCCCACAAAAAGAAAAAGACGTAGTATTTTATACAATATATGAAAGCGGACTCTATCGATTCCGCCGACCACCAACTGGGGCCTTTTTTCTTCCCTGTTTACCCTGTCAACACGGCTGCACTGTCGGCCACAAACGCCCAGCTGCCATATCGATTAGACCGTCCAACTGCAATAACAACAACAACCGGCAAAATGGTCATTTTCCAGCATATGCTACGAATGCATATATGATTAATTTTTCAGTTTCATAGTTAAACTGAAATTTGGGAGCTTATTTTAATAGGTATTTCGATGACGAGTGATATTCAGTAAATGTTTTTATAAAGAAATATATTTTTTATCAAATAGAAATATAAAAACATATTCTATATACAGATAAAATAATAAAAACTGACCGGTGTTTTGTAAATTCGTTTATTTTGTAATATTGTCAGAAATCATTCTATTCCATGTAATTTTTGAAATTATTTTTATTATTTTTTACAGCGTTTTGATCGGCAGATAAGTCTGCGAAAAGCAGCACTCAAACATTGCCATAATACACGAGATTTTTATTTTTACGAGAACATCAGCAAGCGAATGTATCAGCACTTTTTACCGAATGATAATTGACGCACGCAGCGATGCGATTTACGCGAAAAAGGTGGGTATAAAATTTCCGTGTATACCCGGCAGAAGAAGGAAAAAAAGCGAGGAAAGCCGAGAATATGCCGGCCGGCAAGTGGGCGGGATCGGGTAGCAGGAACCGGCACAGCGCTGATTGGTAGGCGAATGGGCGGGGCCGCTGTGAAGCCGGGCTAGTAATCAGCTGGTAAACAATGCACAGATGGCTTCCGCCCGGAATCTGCCGCGGTAAAATTAAATAACAAAAACATGCTAACAGTCAAAATGCTTCCGAGTCAACGGTCCTCCTGATCATGACATTGAAATCTGATGGCACTCAGAAATTCGCGCAGAAATAATTTACATAAAAAAAATTGGGACGAACCGGAAATAGAACCGAAAATGTCAGAAAATATTTGCCGGTTATAGGAAAAAAATTACCAAAGCAGCTATTTTACAGACGATAATTTACCGTGCTTAGGAATTTTTCACTTAAGCAGAAAAATGTCTCCCCTCTTTATTTTTGTCAGGGCTTTTATCTAAATCGCCCCGTGGAATGGGAGATGCGCAATATATTATGCACATCATTTATATAAATTGGTAATTGATTGCTTTTCGCATTATCTGTGCTTAAAACGAATATCGTGTACACTTTGCATCGACGCGGAGCACACTGCATTTTGCCGGGTTGTGGAGCACTTGTCATTGGCCCTGGTGAAATCAATAGCATTTTCACCATAAAAGGTGAATTTCCATTTTATCCCGAGAGAAAATTCCATCCATTCCTTTTGACGCTGGCACGCACCAAATAACACACTGCTGGTTACACTCATTTCTGCATAAAGCTCACACAGCCGAGAATGCCTAGTTCGGTCGATGCCGCCTGCGAATGCAGAGGATCACTGCCTCGCATATATATACCAGCCATAGGGGAAGATCCGGGTTGCGGGCGCATTACCGGCATCAGCCTCCCGCGGCTTGCTTATTTCCCTGTACGCAATTACGCAAAATCAGACGATTCTACAGAAAATACACAAATTTGGCGCATACGCCTCTTAAATTTTGCCGGTGTTGTTGATTCCCGGTACAACATTGCTGTATTTGTAGCGGGTGAACAGGGCAATAAAGTAACGAGCCGGGTAATTTTCCGTGCCGGTGCGTACTTGTCACGCTCCGCCCCGGCCGTACACTCTTGTAATGCTAAGCTGGGCTAAGTGCAGTGAAAATCGAGCTCGGTGCTGAGAGGGAGCGAGTGAGTTCCTTCACCAGTGATCAGCTGACGAAGCTGCATATATACGCGCGGCATACTGCACAGAACCGTCGCTGCTGCTGCTGCTGATCCGGCGTGGCCACATTTTAATCGCTTCGGCGAAAATTTAGCTGTTGGCACTTTTTTTTTTAACCGTAAAGTGCACCGCCATCCCAATTATTATTATTACTATTATTATTATTATTATTTATTCAACGGCAGAGTGTGTGTACGGCACGATGCGGCCGGTGGTGATGCGGCGTAATTCTGGTCGTTGCAGTCGGAAGCGCAGTGTGCCGGTGGCCGTGGAGACCAACTTTGACGTCCTGTCCATCCCCGGTCCGTTGGATACGCGCGCCTACCGCGAACTCAACGACGTGTACGAATCGCCGGATGCCGATTCGGATGAGAGTAATCTGGGGGAGCGCGGTGGCAGCGCCGCCGCCGACGGCCAGGGCGATGTGCTGATGGATGAGTGCTCAGCGGCGCTGGTGCTCATGAGTCTGGGCGCCTCCTCGCCCGGGAACAAGCTGCATATGCCGCCGCAACTGGATCTGCACGGTAATTATTCGCCGCTGGGTTTCTTAGGTTTCTTGGGTTTCTTAGAACATTCCTTTAACGCAGGCAGCCTGTACAACTCAGCATATTAAAATTGTTTTAATTGATCGAACCGGCATAAAAAAGTCTTAGTGCATCTTCCAGAAACCAGTCCAGATAAAAAACATTAGCTTTTTAAGGAATATACGCATATATAGCCGAATATTTAAATAAAAATGATCAACACGTTTCTGGTTCTCGGTGGTTTATGAATTTGGTTTGCCGTCAATAAATTAGGCGATAATTAGATTTATTAGTAGAGACTGCTGATTGAGGAATTTCATTTAAAAATAATATTGATATACGGTTAAAAGACCTTGGAAAGTTCTCGACTGCGGATGAACTGTAACAGGGTCGGGCTACACGGCTGCGCAGATATCTCTGTGCGCTCGCTGTGCCGTTTGGGGCGCATGCAGGGGGCTGCCGGCTCCTGACAAAACGCCGGCTGCTGACGGCCAGCAGCGACCGGAAAGCGTGCCGATATTGATCACTCGATGGGCGTGACCGAAACGCAGCGCAGCATATATATGCGCACAAGGCCGTTCGTTTCTTTCTTTGCTGAAATGTACTGCACCCGAACCACCCCGCGTCGTGGCGGCAGTGCACAGCGCCGCATAAAAAAAATATTGCCAACAATCATAACTGATCGAAGAAAAGAAAACGGTAAAATAAATCGATCCTCATAAAAACCGCTGCGAAAAGATTACAAAATTTGTGATTTTTCCCCCTGGAAAATGCACAGAAATTACAAAATAGTACAGGGTAACATGCGCCTTCCAGAAAATGCAATATAAAAAATTACCAATATTCTACGAATGCGAAAACTTAACGCCTTGGCTTGAATTAAATAAATTTCGGTCGAAATATTCAACGGTTACTCGTACGATAAATGTATAAATCTGATAATGAGAGATTAAAAACTGAAACAAATTGATGACGAATTTACAACAACTTGCACGGTGGCTGATATATATCGCTTACTTTGCAGAGGACGCCGGCTTCCAGAGCGGCACATCTTGCCCTAGCACGTACGGGTCCTCGTGGCCGTCGGAGCGGAACATGGGTCGGCAGCGCCAGCTGTCCAACTCTACCGGCTCCAGCGGCCCGACGAGCGGCGTATCGTCACTGCACCGGCCCATCTCGCCGGCTTCGTTCCACGACTCCACGTCCACCACGGCCTCCAGCGACGAGGGCATCGAGATGGCCAGCTCCATGTCGGCCATGGACCATGATTACGCTGCCGGCTGGCCGGAGGCCTCTGATTTCCACGAGCGACCCCGCAAACGCCGGGTAGGTATTTTTCCACATTTTTTTAAACAAATTTCGCCATATTTAAGAAATTATTTTGGTAACAAATGCTAGAATTAGTTATGATATAAATAAATTATAGTAAGCAAATTTATAAATTAATCGCATTGCATAAATTACATTCATATTTAAATTACATTCATATTTTTAAAAAAATATTATTATTAGATGTGCAGTTTATTTAATTTAAATATTAAATGCCGATGGAACGATTTTTATTTGGCTGCCGGTTAAATCAGTTAAATATTTTGATTTAATGTACTGTACATTTATTATGATTTTTGGTGAAAGACTGACGTGCTAAGGATGTTAATTATTGTTGGCAGCCGTCAAACAGTGTCGTGTTCCAATGCACATGGCCGGAGTGTCAGCACATGGAGTCAACGCGAGCCGGTGTGACCAAGCACATCCAGAATGTGCACTTTGCGTAAGTCGCTGCAGGGACGAATGTACATGCTGGCTTGTGCAAATAGCACACAATATACACCCGCATATATATAATACGGGGCAACCGGCACCGGGACTGATCACGCCATCCAAACGGCACTTCCGCTGTAACATAACCTTACACGGAAATCATCTATTACCGCCACCCCGCACACATTTACACAGTGCCCACCGCTTTGCCGGCCGGTACATGTTCAGCGCGTGAAACCGCTTCGTTTAACCAAATCAATACACACGCATATACCGGCAAAAATTAAATAATCGAATTTTTGGGGTGATGTTAGCAATTTTTTTCTTATTTCTGTGATTTCGGTAATACAAATTATTCGACTGGCTTTTACAGTTTTTCCAAATCCACCTGCTCCGCGAAAATGGGATTTTTGTTTCTTAAACGTTGACGCGTAAATAAAATTTTATTTCATGGTTAAAAAATAGATAAATATTTTTTGGTTAAAATGTATTTTATGCTTATTTTATATCTTTACGTATTTATGTATAATGCATAAATAAACAAATATTTTATATGCAAGTTGTGTACCAGTGTATTTCCGAAATTATTTTTCATAGAAAAGCATGTCATCCTGTTTATCCCGGGCGCGCACAGGGGATTAATCTCCTGGCTCAATCATAATTACACACGAAGCATCCAATTAATAATCATGAAGCCGGTGACGCAGTGTGTGTTGGTGCGCGCCGGGAAACTTTGATCATCCTGCGGCTGATGAATGCCGGGAGATGAAAAGGCCAGTACAGCCAGGAACGGCACAATGCACTCTCCTCTACACAGTACACAGTGCGATACGCATCGGCTAGTTTTATGGCTGCCTGGGGGAATCGTTTCCGGTGACTGATCCACATTGGCCAGATAAGGGATCCCCTCCGCTCCATCCGGCCACCGGCATCCATCCGCGCCCGGCACTCTCTCTGCGCGCAGATCCCTCAACGTCCATAAACCCCGCTTCGTAGAATATATATATTATTCCGTCGCTGTGTAACCAGGACGCCGATGTGGGCCACGTGCACTGCCGTTCACTTACACCGCTAAAAGCACTTAATCATCCGCAAAACGAAAACATCGCGGGTAGAATGGGATGGGGGATTTCTTTAGAATATTCACCAATAATCAATCGTATACAAAATAATGGAAGCGGAAGCGGAATAGTGTATTCTAAATATTCTGGAATTTTGTATCGATTTTTTCGTCGTTAAAATTCTGTACGGAATGTTGTTCATATTTTGTATATATAAATTTTACGCTTTTATCAGCAGTAATTTTTCTCCACTCTACAGTAGATGGATTCGATTTTGTTCTGCGAACTTTTTTGTATTATTTTATAATTTTTTAAGCACTGAAAAATTAACCGATAATTATTTTTCTTTTTTATCGTAAAAATGGTTATTTTTAAAACTTTATTTTTATTATTTTTGTATTTATGAAACTATGTTTATCAGCAGTAATTTTCTTCTCCTTTCTTTTCAACGATTTATTCTGAGTATTTTTAAAGGTTGTAATGACTTTCTGGACATTGAAAAATTAATCAGTAATTCTTTTTCCCTGGCGATGTTTTCTTTTTATTTTCTTTGCCATGCCGGTGGTTATACCGCATACGTAAACACCGCATGCTCCGCATCCACCCTCACCCACGCCAAACAGAACAAAAACCCACAAAAGAGGCAGCAAACTGCGCAGCACACAATTAGATTGGTACGGCCGGCTGCAGTCCCGATTAGGCGTACAACGGCCTATACTAGCCTGCCGCCGGAAGTGGCGGATGATCCAGTGGATCGTATAGCCGGCAATTGATTGATCCCTTGTTTACAGGTCAGCTGGACTGCCGGCCGATGATCTGGAGTTCTATTACAACGAGATAGACGGCAGCAGCCACAGCGGCAGCAGTCCGCCGGTGCTCGATCTCCTGGCGCCGCATAGTCACTTCCGGCTGCCGCCGGGGACGGCGGTGGGGGGACAGCGGCAGCGCTCCACGCTGTCGGCCTCGTCAGACGGGACCGGGGGGCGTTTTGGCCCGCGGACCGGCTCGGCCAAGCCCATCACGATTCCGCACCGGCCGGCCACCGGCAAACGCCACGAATGGGAATCGGTAAGCAATGGGAATCAAATATGAATAAATAATGAATAAAATAAATTAAAATATAAATGCTTATATAAATTGGTGCTCTTATTTTAATATTGTAGTAACACCAAAATTATATGCACAGATAAACCAAACAAAACCGCTAGCCTAATAATTATAAATATGAAAGCATTATGAATTATTTTATGATATATTGTAGCTTAATTGGTTTGATTTTATTTTTATTACTGTGCAAAACAAAACTACAGCCGCAACGTCAATGTCGAATAATTTTCATGATAATGTTATTACAGAGTATGAGCTGCGCGGTATTTGTAAACCTTGAGATTTATTTGCCGCATTTTTATTAATTTAATTTTGAAGTTACCTGTTCAGCGGAAGAATGTGCGGTACATACATATATATTTTTTTTTACATATACCATTTTATTACGGACTTTTGATTATTTCTTTATTTTTCCGTAGGCTTCGGCTCCGCAATACGGCCACTCGGACATGCACAGTCTTTCGCCGTCGGCAATTCGCCATCTGCAGAAGGGTCGGGATGTGAAGAAATGCCGCAAAGTGTACGGCATGGAGAACCGCGAAATGTGGTGCACGCAGTGCAAATGGTACGTCCCGTTTCTCTCATGCAATGCATATAATTACACCGCACATATAAAATTAATTTACTAATTAATAAATTGATATATTAAATTAAAAAAATTATAAATTAATCATTAACAATAAATAGAATATGTAATAATTGCAGGAAGAAGGCCTGCACCCGCTTCGCGGAACTGAACGCCTAATAACGAGGAAGACGACCTTTTGAATGAGTATACGATGGATGATGTGGACAGTTTGGCTGGCGTTTCATGGACTGTGTTGTGTGGCTGTGTTCTGACGGGATATAAAATTCATTCGTGGGAGAACGAGAAACACGCGTCTTCCTCCTGATCTCTCCTTCTCCTGCTGTCATTAAACTGCGTTCAGTTGCCCGCCCGCGGACGCTGGCTGTTCCTTGCTTCCCGTGTGTGCGATGCATCCGCGCATCCGTGCACCCTTTGCCATTCAGCGGGGGCAGCGGCGCCCGGGGGCGGGGGGATGGCCCGCGTTCTTCTGTTTTCTGATTGGTGGACAAATGGACAAATGCCCGACATTAATTTCAGTATCTCATCAAAGAATTTTAGTTTATTTGATTATAATATTTTACACACACATTTTATTTTATTTTCTGTTTTATTCGTTTTTAATAATCCAGCGTTGGTGTAATTGGTCGACACACCCACTGCCCATTGTCGCACGCGTGCGTTAATTTGTTCGTAGTGTCGCATTTGCGTTTTAGAGCGGTGTCACGTGATACATACAGTTTTTAGCTCGTTTTGATCTTCTTCACAATTTTTTTTGTACAGCTGCGGTTTTGAGCCGGCGACGATGGTGCTGTAACGTGTTTCCCATGTTTCTTTTTTGCACCTGTGTTTCTTAATTTTGCAATCACTGCCGATTTTCCTGTGTGGGAAATTTCTTCATTCGTCTGTCTGATTTGTTGACGCTGATGTTCCGATTGTACAGAAAATTGTATGTAATTTCTTCTTCCTCAAAAATGGAGAATGTGAATAAAAATTCCTTGACATTAACCGCTGCTGTGGTCACCGTAAATTTTCCAACCAGTTTAATGTACTGTATTATACATCCCAGTACATGAAAATGTTCAAACCAACATAGGCGAAAACAACTGACAATTAAGATGATTTTACGACAGTCGCGAACCTAGCAAACACAGAGACCGACAGAAAAAACTACGGAAACAAGCAGCCAGAATCCACAGGTGCCACACCAACGAGCTCGCTGGTTAAGGGCCAAACGCAGAGCGTTGGGGCAAGCCCCCAGATTGCTTCGGGCGTAACAACAAAAAAATCCGACCGCAAACATCCGCGCTTCCTCCATCCGTCTCCAGAGCCTGGAAGATCCACGTTCGTTCCACGATACCCCAACGACATGAACAACGAAATGAAACGATCCAACGCGCAGTGAGAGTTGCAGAAGTCAACAAGGCTCCACAGCACAGATCTACGTTCTTCGGCCGCATTTACCATAAAAGCAGGATTTAGGGGTTGACCGGATGCCGCGCTGATGAGATCACTGGTTAAAAGGGCCAAACGCGAAGCGTTATAAGGGCAAGCCCCCAGATCACTCGAAGCACAACATTCAGACGCCCCAGAATGTCCCCCCCCTCACGGCGCATGCGGTCGCTCCCGCAGCAAAGGCTCCAGCGTCCTGACGACTCCATTAGACAGACAAGAATGCGTTCCGACGTATGACTCGAGCAGTATGAAGTTAAGTAAGGAATAATGAGAGGAATACAGTCACGAAAAGATGCTGCGAGAACCGAGGGCAGTTCGTACACTGGAGAGTGTACCTGTAGTTCCTCTGAACAACTTTTACTTGTCCCTGCCAATCTGGTTCGAACCAGAAATGGCAGGGCTCACTATTTATCCACAAAAATTCCCAAGAAAAATCGAAAATTAGTTCGAACCAGTTTAATTAGTTTTGATTAGTTTCGGTTCCCACTTACTTATATTATTCCTGTTTTTTTATGAATCATTTCTAACTATTACTCGAATTTTTATTACTGTTAATTATTTTCAAATATCTTTATTAAGTAATAATTTCCCAAATAGAATGGGATTTTACAAACAAAGGCGATTCCCGTTTAGCAAACATCGATTATTTATTGGCCTTCTGCTGGCACTAATACAGCAAGCGATATGTACATACGCGAACTAGACCGGAAAGCAAAAAAAATGATTTATTTATCTCGGAGAATTCCTTGTAAGAAACAATAACATTTTCGAAAAATATGTTTAATATATACGTAACTTTGCAAAAAAATACAAATACGTAAAATGATTTTCGCATGCTTACAGGAAAGTTCTATTTTGTACATATAAAAATGACTGCCAAATAGAGTTCTCTTTTGTGGTTTGGGATGGTATTTATACTACTGTATTGTACATAGTATTATACAGACAACTGTCAGCACCGGAAGTTAGACAATCATATGCGGAATTTTATATACATATATATCCTCATTAATTTCCGGTTTTTATATACGTTCCTAATACGTATATATCTTTATTTTTGCGTTTTAATAAGGGCATGGAAATTGCCGACAGCGCTTGTTCCAGCACCGCGGTGGAAACCGCGAGGAAAAACATGTGTCGGCAATCTGGTGAAAAGTACCGCACGGCACCGGGCGCTGACAAGCCAAACAGCGCAGCTAACTGTTTTCGGATGCGCATTATTAGCCATACACAGTGGATATGAATTATCGGCTAATGCGACCACTCAGCATGTGGCGGTTTTTGCCCTAATTAAAAACACATTATGCTCCACATGTGCTACATCTATATTATATATACAGTCTGTACAATCATGTAACCGTTTAGCGACTTCTGCAGTTTTGGTACACGAAGTCCTTGAATCATCATATTATTTTAAACGAAAGTGCTATGCGCCCCAAAATTTTAGGGCGCATAGTTAATTTGCTATGCGCCCAAAAAATTGCAGTTAAAAATTTTGTATTTCAATTTTTACCGTTTTTATTACTCTCTATTAACGGGAAAATTAATTTTACGTTCGCTGACTTCTTTTAGAAGTTTGTTCACTGCTTTTGACTTATCCGCGAAATCTGATGCATTTTTTCGTATATGTGTACAGTGCATAAGTACCCCGCTGACGTACCAGTTAGATTTACCAAACTTGAATTGTTACATTTCGTATTCAAGCTATAAAAGTATAAATGGCACACTGTCATGACCTCATCTGTTTAACCGGTAAATTTCGTTTTCCGAGAACTTCGTCAACTTCTTTCTTTTGCGATTATCGATATTAATAGCTTAAAGCAAACAGTTTTTCTGCGGTTATTTGGGCCGCGCTTCCAAGACGGCTTCCATAATTGCATGGCACTATCTCGATTATAGAGGTGTTTCAGCCGTGTGTATAGTTTTTCGGAAATTTATTGTGAGATATGAGAATATCAAATTGGAGAATCTGATTTTATAAAGATAAATGATTATCAAAATAACAATTACCGGTACATAGTGACATAGAAAGGCAAACCTAACTTCGCTGTACTCTGTGTATCTGTATTTCGGCATAGTGACATGCTATGCGGAAGTCGGAAGGCGTTAATAGTTATCATCTAAATTTATAATCAAACGTACTCTGCATCTGGCAAGTTGTTAAAAACAAAATTTGTTTGCTTATTTAGGTTTTCTTCAGCACTTGTTATTTAGTTAGCAATGCGTTTTGGCTTTTATAGGCATTGCGAATGCATGTTTCAAAATTTTAACGTAGAGATTTTAACGTAAATTCGAATCATTTTATGTAGTATTACGCGTATGCATATTTTGTTATGTTATGTTATGTTTTGTCCAATAAAGAAATGAGTACGTAGAGATTGCCTGATTGAAAAAAAGAAAGCTATTTGTCGGTTATGTTCCCCAAAATTAAGGAGTACACTTAAGTACCCCCAATAAAAACATTCGTAAATTCAATCAGTAATTACAGTTTTCTTAGTTTATGACAAGTTAAATAGGAAATACTGCAGCAAATTCTTTTGAATTAAACCTGATTATGCCTGGTTAGTGAGCCATCATAATTATTTGTATTAAAATGTTTTGTATTATAGTGCCGTGATGCATGTACGAGTACAAGCAAGACCTTTGTTTTTTTTGCAATATTTGCCTGGTCTGTACCACTTTACACAACATTACGGATTCGCTGATACCATGTTTTAACGTTCTATAAGGTTTTAAATTACTCGCTTTTCTATTTTGACCGGAAATTTTGGGGCGCATAGCAAATTAACTAGGCGCCTTAAATTTTTTGGGCGCATAGCAAATTAACTATGCGCCCTAAAATTTTGGGGCGCATCGAAGTGACCTATTTTAAATTACCATAAGTTTTTATTATAAAACAGATAAAAATTGAAATACGTGAGTATAATACGTGAGTGAGTACGCCATAATTTAAACCTACGAATTGCATGCATACTTATAATCTGGTATAAGCGCGTAAACAAAAATAAAACAGCACGCAACACGTCACCGGAAGGGCATATGATCGGGTCGCGCTGATTTACTTTACTATATTTTATTACATTTTTCTCGGATTTTCCGGACAACGTACATATGATGCAGTGTACAGTGCATCGGGTTTTCGCGAACCGACTATCGATTTATGTGTTAAAAAAAGTAATGGTGAATTTGTTGCATAATTCTGCGCATCGATAATGACAACCCATGGAATATTACAATTATTAAGTATTTCTTTTCGCATTGGTTGCACGCGGGTATTATACGACTACTTATTCTACCACCAGCATAAAGGTCGATACCACCGTCCACAACCAGCACGGGACGTCGGACGAACCAAATCTCCGAGCAGCAATTCAACCGCTATCACAGTACGCATTTAAAAATTACACGTGGTTTAAGAAAACAGGGTTAATAATGATGGACTTGCTGAGAGCACTGACTGGTGCACAGAGTGCTGGATGGATGGGAAGACAGTTTGCCTGTCCGCCTACATGTGCGCGGTGTCGCTGCCAAACTCCCACGCCGCCCTTAGGCTGGGAAATTATTATGGAACGGAGAGTGTGACCGCAATGTCATTGAAATAATCAACTCTTTCAGCAAATAAACGTTGGACCGCAAAAATATTATTTCGATAAAACAATTACATTAATTACAACAGTTAAAAAATAATGCAGTCGAAACTTTATGCAAGAAGTTTTTTGCAGAGGATATACTAAAATGACCCAGCAAACACATAAATGATGGACCGCAAATAATTACCGCATTACGATAGAAACATTACATTTTTGAGAATTATGTAACCGAGAATTTGCACTAGATTTTCTTACGAAACATTAACGATATGGAAGAAATTTTCGAATATTTATGAAAATATTTGTAAAATTTCATTTATAAAAATTCATTTTAGTAAGTATTTATTTTAGTATTTATAAAATGTCGGATATTTAAAAAAATTGATTCAAAACGTGGACACTCGGTATATCAGACGACTGAGCAATAAGAATTAATTATGCTTTGATTTTGTAATGGTTCTGTTTTTCTCCGAATGATAATAACCGGCGCGCAGTTGATGACATTTTAAGCACGTAATCATCAGCGGATATGGGCGCAGAAAAAGCGAGCACGGAAGCCTGATCGGTGTGTTTATGCAAGGTTAGCCGCGGTGCATAAAAGTGTATCGCTTACATAAGGAGCGGAAGTGAGCGGTGGTGGAGCGAGACTGGACGAGTGACGCGAGCTAAAAATGGCACGTGCCTATATTTGCCATTACAGTCGTGCTAGGCACCGGCACGCACCCAGGCTGCTGATCCCAGTGCACAGGGAAAAACAAAACATCCATCCTTCTTACAATGTTAGCTGTAGCCGAACACCGGCGTTCTAACGATGTTCGGTTGCAATGAATCAAACGAAGCAACCAACTCAATACGCGGAAAAAACGGGAGAAAATCACTGTGCATTGCATTCTCAATATCTCACCATGGGTACCGCGCGCAATATTAATGCCTAAAATCTCCAAAAAAATTCGTTAAATGCAGTAATAACAGTAACAACATTATTATGACGGTTGTCATTGAATTATACAAATATGCGAATAAATTCAGAAAATCTCCAAACTTGTCGCCAACATGTTCGAGGACTTTATTCGGCAACTTTCGCGAAATTTGCTTTTTATAAATCTGCTGCAGTACATGACCAATTTACCGTAAAGCATTCGACATATGATGGACTTTACTTCTATCCATTTGGCCTTATCAACTACCTATAGAAAAAGACTTTAAAAGTTTGTAATACGTAAATAATCCGACAAAAAAGGAATTTAGATGATATTCCTTTTTCTGGGCTTATATTCTTATATTTTTTTAAAATTATTTTCTCTCTTTAACTTTAACACATCAGCCCAAATTAGTCGGACGAAAGAAATCGAAAATACAAGAAAACCAAAAAATTTTACGTTAAATAATCCGACAAATAAGGAACTTGGCCTCTAGTTCACTTTCCGGGTTTATTTTTTGTTAACGTTTTTCTCGCTTTTATTAAAGCACACCAGCCCAAAAAATCGGACGAAAAAATCACAATATACAAAAAGACCTCAAAATCTTAACACTTAAATCCGTCAATTTTACCAAGAAATCGTCACCGTTCATTTGGAAGCCTTGCACTTGATCCGCACGAATGGCGAAAGACCGGAAATAGGACAAACACGCAAAATCGCACAAAAAATTCTCGCCGCTGCGACCGGCCTCACGTGGCAGTCAACATCTGGCGCTGGATGAGCTTCCTGAAGGCCCCGTCGGGATTGGCCAGCAACTCGGCGTACCGGCCCTTCTCGATGATCCGGCCGCGGTCCAGCACGCAGATCTGGTCGGCGTCGCGGATGGTGGACAGGCGATGGGCCACGGTGATCACCGTGCGCCCCTTCATCAACTCCCGCAGGGCGGACTGTACCTGGCTCTCGCTCTCCGAATCCAGCGAGCTGGTGGCTTCATCCAGCAGCAGGATCTTCGGATTCTATATCCAGCCACAAGATGTTTTTAACCGCGTCAATCACGGAAAATTAACTCATTCAGTTAGCTCAGTTAGGGTAGGTATTTTCAAAAATACTTTACCATTTTGTATACAATATAAAATAACATTTTGTGTAAGATAAAATACCACTTTGTGCTCTATTTACTTCTATTCCGATTGAAGATTACATTTAAAAAAATAAACGATAATAGAATATCTAGTACGTAAATTAAAACAGCAAAAAAATGATAACTTATCTAACAAGGTAAACAAAATTACAGAAGCAATTTTGGTGCAATGGACAGTCAGTCCATTTATAAACACGGAAAAAAACCCGTCAGTATACTGCAATTGCATGCTAATCCAGCTACTGACCTTGACCAGAGCCCGTGCGATGGAGAGGCGCTGCCGCTGTCCACCTAATCGGAAATAACCATTTTCATTCAAAAAACTCTTAATCGGAATCATAAAATGAGAAATTTCTTTTTCTACCCAACGACGCAAGCAATAATCGGCGGCGACTATTTATCGAATTCGCCTAATACCACCGTTGGCAAAAGAACCAAGAATCTTATTCTAAAAAAATATTAAAAATTCTGATCAAACAAAATTAATATTAAAATAAAAGATACTGAAAATCCATGAGGTATTGGAACACATAAGCCCTACCCGAGGATTTTTCTGATTTCATTTCTTCATAGAGCGCCGCGAAACAAATGGCAATATGTGAATATTTTTTTCAATGCGAAATAAACCTGTAAAACTGCGGTTTACCGGACAAGAGCATGCCACGTTCACCGACGACCGTGTCGAATTTTTCCGGCAGCCGCTGGATAAAATCGTAGGCGTTGGCTTTCTTACAGGCCGCCACCACCTCCTCCATCGTGGTGGAGGCATCGCCGCCATACGCCACATTCTCAAACACCGATCCGGAAAATAAATAGATATCCTATCGACGAAATCACACAAAAACCAGCTGCGCTCGTACACAATAGCATAACCAAAAGTAAAAAATTAAAAATCACCTGCGGCACCAATCCGAAATTGGAGCGCAGCCACGTCGGACTCATTGTCCGAATATCCGTGTCGTCCAGGTAGATCTTCCCTACAAGCCAGACATCGTGACGGCGGTGACGATTATTAATCGCAGAAGCGTATTTATACCGTGGTTGGGATCATACAGCCGCAGCAATAGGGATAAGATGGTCGATTTTCCCGAACCACTGTCCAAAGAAACCAATCCCATGATGGGAATAAAGTAATAAATTTATAAAATAACGTATAAAAAAACAGGTAACAAAACAAAATACAAAAAGTTAATGAAGGAAAATGAACAATACATGTCATTAATGTCAGTATAAAAAATAAACAACAAAAATAATATAATGTAAAAAATATAAGGAAGGAAAATGAAAAACACATGTCAACATAAAAAAATAAACAACAATAACAATATAATATCAAAAATTTAATGAAAGAAAATAAACGACACATGTGTGTAAAAAAACACATAAATATGATTTCAACGGTACCTGGCCCCTACGAAAGCCGTGTGGGATCCTTCGGGAATGTCCAGGGAGAAGCCGCGCAATACCGGCACCTCTTGCCGGCTGCCGTAATTGAAGTGGACGTCATCCAGCCGGAAGCGGGGCCGTAAGGGGGCGGTCGGAACACTACCGTCTGTAATGAAATCCATCGCTGGTTGTACGAGTCACTACGAGGCATAACTGACAATGCATTCCGTAATTGTATACAGGCTCTTCCTATCTCGCTCGCAATTATGTCATACGCGGTAAATTTAGAATCATTCTTTAAAAAAACTGCAAATTAAAATAACTTCACAAGATTTCACTAACGATTTTAGTAGTAAATAGTTAACAAAGCACAATTACCAACCAGATTCAGTTAAAACACAATTAACAACCAAACACAATTAAACACAATTAACAGCCAAATTCAGTTAAAACTTCCATAAATGGGCTGTAATTTACGTAGATGTAGAAAACAATTAAGTACTACATATGTATCGCACGTAAAACAATTTTTCACGTCTTCTTATTCATCCTAATCGTATCATTACGATTTTCTGCTGACAGGTGACAATTCAATAATTCATTAATTTAATTTGCAAGTTTAGTTTACTAAATAATTGTAAATTTGTAATAAATCACTCGAGCTTTTTGAGAAAGCCTCTTCCTGTCTTTTTACTAACCATCAACGGATATGCGTGCCGGTCGATCCATGATCTCCCACACTTTCGCACTGGCCCCGATGCCCCGCATCATCTCCGAATAAAACGACGACAAACCTGCACATACACACACAGCATGACTTCTTTTCACACCGCCGACTACTCGGCATTGCGGCTGATTTTTCTTCCAGAAAAATCTCCAGAGAGACCCAAGAGCGCTTCTATACCGTTACAGTGCTAGTTCGTAAAATATAAACATGGAGAAATTTATAATGTAAATTTTAACCGTAGGATCAGACAATTTCTACTAACACGATGTTTAGCGCGTGAATAATCCGTTATTTCAGCCATTTCAGTTCAGATTTGCTGCTAATAACGCGGTCAATCATCGTAATTCGTAATATGTAGTATCATGAAAGGGGCTGAAGAGCATAATTATAGTCTACAAAAATAATTATAGTACTTCGTGCCATAATAAATAAAATAAATAATTATAAATAAATATAACTATAGTAAATAATGATAATTATAACACTTCGTACTGAAGTGCATAATTATAGTATTTCGCACCAGCAATGGAAACACCAACATAGCCGGCATACATGGCAAATGCCGACAGATCCCCCACGGTAATCTCGCCTCGCGTCAACAGGATCCCGCCATAATACAGCACGCTCAACACCACCAAATTCCCCGATAATCCCGCCTATGAAAGTAAACAAGACATGAAAATATTACAAATAACAACTTTTATAAAAAGGGGAAAAAAATTATGCCAGTCTAAAAAAATCACATACACCCAGTCGCCAGTTGAACAGAAGGCAATGAAACCCGAAACTACGTAAGACATTACTGTATCGCAAAAACTAAAAGGTACTTAAGTTACAGAGAATTACATGTCACTATATATTTACAGTATGTACGACTACGAGTACTACTCATATACCACGGTTCTCGTGAGTACTAGTATCACACTAGTAATATTAGCGTGTTCAGAAAATAGTTAGTATGAATTTTCGGTTCCCTGAATCTAAATTGTTACTGCACTATCTCTTTTAACCGTTTTGGCCAAATTTCAAATCCTCCGCTAGAAGATTATCCTAGCCGAAAGTGAGGTACCGGCTTCGTTAAGAAATATCTGCTTATGTCAACGGTAGGCTATACTCTGCAATAAGTCTTGGGACTTGGATTGTCTCAAGGTTTCAACGCCACATTAATCACACGAACGTCAAACTATGTAACTGATTAATGATAATTAAAAATAAATAAAAATAATAATCAAAAATTAATAACCAGTACAAGTGGAATATGGCATTTATCTGAACCTCAGCCCATTCAACTGCCGTGACACTCCAGTCTGAATATTTAAGACGCCCGTTACGAGTGTCGTATTCTACGTTTTCCTCCCGGTATCCGCATGTACACACTGATATGACAAGGATGCATAGAGAACTTATGCCAACTCACCATCCCGTAGAATCCCGCCTTGGCCATGGCCTCCTTGTACTGCATATTCAGGATGTTGACCACACTGGCATCATACAGTTTGCGCTCCTTGGGAATCTGGTTAAACACGTGCACCGTCCGCATGTTGCCTAACCGCTCGGATGCCACCTAATCCGGAGAAAACTTGATTAATCATCATTTCATCGGACAATAAATTCCAATAATATCGAAGTCAGCTGGTCTTACTTAGGGGGAATAATTCAAAATAATAAAAACATTATTTTTAATGAATAATGAAATAATAAAAATGCATAAATAAATAATGAAATTATAAAAAAGTAGTTTTTGCTTACAGAATCAAAACAGAGAGAGTAAAGTTCTGTGTTACGAAGCACAACCACTGAGCCCACGTATTAATCGTTAACCCGACGGCCAGCACACTACCATAATACGGACAGTGTGGTCAACTTCTGCACTGGCCAAATGCAGTGTGTTATTTTCGTTCATCCAAAGGAAAAAGGTCGGAAATAAAAAATGCCATGGTAATGAACTGGCTCAAGTCAAAAGCTAGCGATCAGATATTTAGTTCTTAAATTTTAATACATTTACAACAAAGCTATTACACACAAACTGCCCAACTACCCAAGGAACAACAAAAATAAAAATAAAATTTGCAGGTAAAAATCACCTGCGTCGATTCCGCCCAGGCGTCCAGTATCTTCTCCGTTATGGTCTTGAGAAATCGCCCGTATATTACACCGAGAACCGCGATCGGTGGAACGGTTAACAGCCCGACAATGGCCAATTTGGTCGAAATGTAAAACTATAACGCAACACATGAAAAATACAACCATTTAAGGCGAGGTAATTGTTTTGCCTTCATTTTCAGAGGAGTTACAATAGCTACAGTTTCCCAGGTAGAAAAAATGCTCTTTAAAATGTGTTTTTTCGAAAGTCGAAGATCCAAATAAAAGCACAACTGTGTAAAAGATCAAAAGGTACCGTGGGTCTAAAACGACGCTCGGGTCCAGCAGTACGTTCGATTCACTTAACTGCCATCTCCTCTCAAACCGAACCGCAAACAACCGCACGCGGGCTGCGTGTCTGCGTTGCGCTGCTACCGCGCGCAGACTGCGATTTGATGAACGCTTTATGCAGCCTGCAGGTAGCGTGGTGGTATGTTTACTTTTCTGCGCCGATGCAGAGGACCATTTTCGAAAAACAAAAACCCATATTTACTAGAATTAAAGTTCGGACAGTTCTACGCGCCTTATAATCCATTGCCGCAATGGAATTGGCTGTTCTTGGTACCTTTGGAAAGACAAAATTATTTTACATACTGGGTTTTTTTGGTTTTGGAATTGAGCCATCTGAATTCCAACGATCAGTGGTTTTCTCAGTTAGGGAATTAGTTTAATGTTTAAAATTTATATCTTTACTGTTTTTTACACAAGATTTTTCAAAATAAATCCAATATGTAAAATAATTATACGTTATATTTAGAAACAGCAAACTTGAAGTTGCCCCATTGGGTGCTTCAGCGCAGTTTTTTGGGGCACATACAACATAAAATTCTATATCCCGTTTGCACTTTTAGGCTTCATTTTAAAAACTTATATGTTAAAAAGTGCAATTTATAAGATTTATAATGAATCTTTGCACTTCGAGAACAGACGAACCAAAGGCGCACAACAAATTTTCAAAGTTGTCAATAAAATTGGCATGCTGCAAACAATTACATCCCGTTAAGTGCAACAGAGCAAATTCAACTCCTATATTTGATATTTACTGAAAATTACTAATCTAATGCACAAAAAACTAATGAGAATAAGAACCACGTTTACGAAAATAAAAATACAAATAAAAAGACAAAAATAAATACACAAAACTTAAAATATTCAAAAGAAATCAGAGGCATCGCAACGACTAACCATCATGGCGACGCCGGTAATACTGCCGAGAAGTGAGCGTAATCCGTCGGAAATATTCTGAGTGAGCGCTTCCCCCACCGTCCAGCAGTCGTTAGACAGACGATTGACTAATTCTCCCGTTTTCTGGTTGTCATAGTACGTCATATCCTTTAACATCAGACTACTGTACAGACGGTTACGGATTTCTCCACCAAGCCGTGCCGCTGCAGAAACCGAAACGGTAAACGTTCAAATAAACTGTCGAAACATCTCAGTTTTTTTAAAAAAATTTTGTTAATTTTGTTCGTATTTTACAACGAAGTGAAATGCCGATGAAAAAATATATGCCGATTGATCTGAATGCTTTTATTTAGTTTTCCCACTTTAACTGCAGCATAAATTAATTTTAACAAAACATCAAAATACTTTTTTGGCCGATCAAACTGAAATGAAGTTGTAATACATCAAACAAAATATTTTAAGACACTGGTACGTTTATCATTTGTATTTCCCTACTGTTCCCGCTTGCCAGTTTTCTACAATTTCGTCATTAAAATCTCAATATTCAAAAGCAATATTTAAAAAATTAAAAATTTTCATACGGTGTAGTTTTTACGTCGCCATCGAATCGAAGACAATCTTACAAAATGCAAACAATAAAAACACATTTCCACCGCTGACGCAAACCAATAAAATCTTTTCAGTACATTCTCGTTGTGTAAAAAAAACAAAAACCGAAACACTCACATGTGGACTGGAAGAGGTACACCCGACCGGCGTTGGCCGCGGCGCCGACAATAAATATCACCACCAGCGCGCCGGCCACCATCTGCAGGGTCTGCATAATATTCGGGCCGGCGTTGGCCACGAGATCGATTATTTTCCCCACGGAGAACGGCACCGCCATCGTCACGCTGCTGGAGATCAACAGCAATCCCACGGCACCTAAACGCAAAAAAAGTAGCTCACATACACAGTAAATTTCAGGAGTAAGTATCAGAAGTAACAACTAATATCCCAAATAAAACCGGAAAATAAGAAAACCTTTCAAAAACCACAAAAACCGCAAATTTATGGCGAATACAGTAAGCAGCTGCAATTGCAAAACAACGCGAAACATTAAAATGCGTAATAAAAGACTCCCAGCAAGGTTACAATACGAAAACAAAGACTAAAGATTCCGGAAAACGCAACGAATTTATTTTACTGAAAAAGCAAACAAATTTCAAAATTTCTGTGAGGATGGTAGAGGGAAAATCCGAGCCGAGCTGAGAAAAAGTCGAGAAACAAAATTGAGAAAAAAAGGAAAACATAAAAACCGGAAAATATTAAAACTCTAAAAACAGTAAGAACGCAAAGTTAATGCAAACCGACGAAGTAAGTATGCAGATGCAAATCACCATAAAAAAATAAATGCGCAATAAAAATTATAAAGCACTACAATGTCACTACACAGGATACAGTACGAAGATAATCAAAAATCCAAAAAATTTCCAAATAACACGAATACGAAATTACAGAAAAAAACCAGCAAAATTACGATTTTTCCTCACGCTACTAGCACGCTGTCAAAATGCGAAGAAAAACAATAAAAACTTAAATACACCTACGTATTTTAGAGCACTATGCTCACTACTGTCCGATAAGCGAGCGAGCGCTGCTTTCTAACGTACCCGCCAGTCGCCAGCGTTCCGTGTAGGCCTGACGGAAAAATCTCCGCACCTCTCCCTTCTTCATTTGTTGGAGCGACGGCACGGCATTATCCGTCTTCAGGGGCTGATCTTTGCCCTCCACCTTCTCGGGGATCTTGGGCGGCTGGGAGACGCGAGTGCGCGCGGGCACAACGCGGAGGAACCCAGGGACCCGCGCAGGCGTCCTCGCTGCAGCCCACATCGCCGACCGCCGTACCGAGGGTGCGCGCGCTAGGGAGCATGGTATCTCCACGCGGACAGAGAGACGGTGGACAGCGGCACCCTGCAGCATGCATACGGCGCGGCATAACATCGTGGAAGAGGAGTTGTACACGAAGGGAAGAACAGCTAGGCTGAGTCAAGGATTAGCCGTCATCGTGCATGATCGAGCGTGCAAACTGCACTTTTAGGCAAATTAACGCTGCACTCGCGGTAGACAGATGGATCAGAAGGACGACATCAGGTTCGAAATTTCCCAATGGATGCAAAGGTTCGTATAAATGACCGATGCGTGTGATAATCGGGATATCATCAGAATAACAATTTTACATAACATAAGCATGATAAGGATGGAAACTTCAGTGCTATGACGAAATCGGAACCGAAAATTCCCCAAACACAACATTCACGATGAAAGCTGTCGACAGGGCCACTGTCCGTCGGGAGGCATTCACCAAGTCGATTAAATGAATTGGTGAATGTCACTGAATGAATTGTTCTAGCCAGGAGCTTATGGCGATTTTGCGGCTGATCTGCGTTGCAGCTTTACAAGTTTACAGTTTACACTTTCAACTACAGTACGTAGTTTATACAGTAAGTATAGAACTATAATCTAAATTCCAGTTGACAATTGCACGATTCCTTCTGTCAGATTATTTTCTGATGATGTGAGATGTCCGAAAAAAACAGAATGCAGACTGCAGAATGGAAGAGTGGCCAAATCTTCGCAATTTTGTGTTTATTTTACTGAAAACAGCTATTATTTTGCTACAATATCGTGACTTGGCCATCAAAGAATGAAAATTAATTACGAGTACCAAATATGATGAAAGAATGAAAATTAATTACCAAATATAATTACATACATGATCTCCAAATAATACGGCTAATGACCGGCCGGTTTGTACTTTTAGTGCTTAATAATATTAATTTTGTTATCATTTTAGCCAAAAGCTTGCAATTGGATGCCATTTGACGCTCACATTCCATGCAATATTTTATTAAATAAACACCAGCACAGTCTGTAAAACCTAAGGAAATATATCATGCCAGATTTTCTTAACTATTTGTAAATTGCAATTATTGCATGTGTTGGCAATCACAACAACTGGCTCTGCATGTCTGCATAACTGGCCCTGCATGTATGAAGTTTCTGCGCGAGCTAGCTGGGCGCGCGGCCCAAGGAAAATGGCCCGGTACAAGTACATAGCGTCAAAAATGGGATACATACACTAAAACTTTCGCTTTCGCGTGCTCCGAATCACTTTTTTGTAATACGTTCGTTCAATAGAACGATTCGTTCTGAAGCTAAATGATTTGTACACATTGTTCTGAAAACCGTTTACGCGCGCAGCATCCGGTTGGCGAGATATGGCGTACGAGTACTAAAAAGGGTGAAAAGTTTAAATGCATTGTTGTGTACCAAAAGTCTGGTTATTATTCGATCTTCTTGAAACTTTGCTGCAAAACACACATGGCCATGAAGTCGAAAGTGAACCAATTTCAGGTTCACAGCATTTTCCCATATTTTTAAAATGAATTTAACAATTTTTGAAATTCGTTTTAAAATCTGAAAAAAATGCTATGAACTTGAAATTGGTTCACTTTCGACTTCATGGCTATGTGTCTTTTACTGCAAAGTTTCAAGAAGATCGGGTAATAACCAGACTTTTGGTACACAACAATGCGTTTAAACTTTTCACCCATTTTAGTACGTCATATCTCGGCAACCGGACTTTGCGCGCGCAAACGGTTTTCAGAACAATGTATACAAATCATTTAGCTTTAAAATAACATAAAGTATTACAAAAAAGAGATTTGGAGTGCGCGAAAGCGAAAGTTTTAGTGTATGTATCCCATTTTTGACACCATGTACCGGGCCATTTCCCTTAAGGATGCTACGGGAGAAAGACGCTCTTTTGAGTTTTTGCTCCAGCGTCTTAGCATTGAAATACAGAGGGGAAATGCTTTGTCTGTTACGTCGCGTCCCACGTTCGGATGGTCTTAATGCTGTTTACTTTGTTTTGTAATGTTTGTGAATGTGATGTTTAAAATTCTAGCTAATAACCAACTCAATAAAATTTTTGATCACCACAAGGGCACGCTCCCGTTTTGTTACAAAGTGACTTTACACAGTCACAGCAGCGTGAGCAGATACTCTTACGAAGTATGTATACTTTGTACGGATATGTGAGAGCCTGAGAGGATAATTTTTCATTTATCCAGCCGTATTAGGAATCATTGCATAAGTATAGAAGTTTCTTTAAAATTCAACATGAATTTCGAATATTTACGCTAACCAGGGCACATTTTCCGGGTCCAAATTCAAAAAATCTGATCTTTGGCAGAAACATAGTATACCATCATAGTATATTTAAAAAAATAATTTCAGCTGCTGACACTCAAAGGGCGTGGCCAAACAAAATTAATAAGTGAGTAATACTGCATGTTATTACAATGCACTATAGCGCAATACCCGCACAGGCTTTTTATAAAATAACAGCAGATCAGGAAAGTTTCACCTCTTGCAGAAACGTAGTATTTTGCCACATTATGATTAATGAAAAATTTCATGTGCAAAAGTTAAGACGAAACAGTAGAAAAACCATTTTGCAGCTGCGATTCTTTGCGGTAGTGCAACAGTACGTACCACATACTGCCACTGTATTTGAATTCTGGACTTTACTTTTCCTCACTGTCTGCAGTGTGCTCCCGAAACTTGTCATAAATATTAAAGTTAAATATTTTTAGCGTGCTATAGTCGTACACTGTCATTCGGCAAAAGATGAAAATTTCCTGACGTATTATTATCACAGTGTTACAAACAGCTGTTAGAGTGCTACACTAGTGCAGTGCAATAGTATGTACTATTACTTACTAATACTTATTAATTTTGTTGGGCCACGCCCTTTGAGTGTCAGCAGCTGAAATTATTTTTTTAAATATACTATGATGGTATACTATGTTTCTGCCAAAGATCAGATTTTTCTGAATTTGGACCCGGAAAATGTGCCCTGGTAAGTAGTGCAGTGACCATGTGTTCTCAGTGCTTAAAGAAATTTTCTTTTTGTCCTCCACCTAGCTTTGGTACAATAAATAAGTACTGCTTGAAGAAGCACGTTTGTAAAAGCGTTGTAACCGCAAATCTGAGCAATGTTAATAAGCGTAAATAGTTCAAGGCCTATTGCCATGGTAGCATGCAAACTGATTACAATGTTCACGTAAAACGCTAACGTCCCATTTGAAGTTTTCTGCACCGTTCAGCTGTTTTTCTTGATCTGTAATATTTTCCTAACATTTTCGACAGCATCATTCCGAAACATAACGCCTTTATATGCGCAAAATATATTGCGATATTAACACAATACACTGTAAACAGTCATAATCTTCTCAGCATTTTAAAAGATACGGTCACAGACTTACTGGCGTGCAGGTAGGTGCAGGTAGATGTCTCACGATGGCCAGGACTGGACTGTTCAGTCATATTGATCCATTTCGGACAAAATCTGAATGTTTGTAATTGGTGGAACGTTCCGATCAACAAGCCTTTTCACTGCTTTACATTATCTAAACTGAACGAAAGTTTTTGTTCGTTAGATCTTATTGGTTCGTTATTAAAATTCCTGCTACGAAAGGCACAGATACAGCAACGAACAGCCGTGCAATACTGGCGAGTGGATTTTTTTTAAGTTTAGGATGTTTACCGGATCATGCGGTTAGCGTGGATAACTGTGGTGGCCCTGCTGACGTCGTGGAACGTTGTATGTCAAAAGACGACCACACCAATAAAGAGCATTTATACCGATCCGTGTCTGCACTGTATCTTTGACAAAGCCGCATGCCAAGAGGACATAGCCGCGCACAATTTGAACACAACAAGCAAGATCGATGGTGTCGGTTCCAGTTTTATGTCGTGGTGCAATGACGGTGCCTGTATGATTAAGGGTTTTGCGACGGGTCCGAATTCCCCTTATCGCTTGCAATGGCGCACTTGCGGTCGCCATCGCCCACCCATGACCTTTTCCGATACCACGTGGTTTATCTGTAAGAAACGAGTCTACAGCCAATGGGATCCCACATGGAGGAATATTGAGTGTTTCTGCCGTGGTGATCTTATGAATTTCTGCAATGGAATGTACAGTGCTTCCTATTTAGAGGAGAAGTTTAACTCACCGGAATTTAAACAGAAATACCTTGATGAATGGGTATGTAAGGTCGGCTTCGCGGCATGCTCTGCCATCCTGTTTCCTATTACCATAGCATCAGCAAGTCACACTGCGCCGTTGCGGCAATACATACGGCTAAATCAGGCGCGGTATATAAGCACCTTGTTTAGCCACCACGTAAAACTCCAGCCGGGTGACGGCAGCAAGTACAGGGATTGCTTGCCTGAGCAACTGTCAGTTCCTTATAGTTACAGTGAATACGTAATAATTAATCGAATTGCAGGAACATGTTTTTGTTCGGAACGAATTCTCGATTGCTAGTTTCCATTGTTTCTTGGTAAAAATACTCAAAACTCAGTTGATTCTTTTCACTAAAAATTTTCCGGATTTTCTTCCCCCAACGTTGCATTTATTTCCGGATTAATAAGGAGTCATTTTGTTAAATAAGGTCGTGTGACACAATGAGCAATCACAGTGAAGGTACGAGTATGAAAGTAATCAGTATGGTTGGCGCCATTATACAGAGTAAATTACCCATGCCCATGGAAGCGGTTACAGCCAGAGCTGCTTCGAATTAAAGACGCGTCCTGAAAGAAAAAATTCATTATCTTACATACCTGAGTGGTCAGATGAATGGTCACTTAAGTGACCTGCGGGTTGTACGAAATTCAGCTCAAGTTCCGTACGTCACAAAGCAAATACGTCAAGAGGACAGCCTCTCGTCGATTAGAACAGATGGCGATGTACTGTACTGAATACAGGAGTTCCGTTGCAGTTCGATTTCGGCGACCCGCTACCGGTCCCAACAACCACCACCCCCACCACCACTACTACTACAGCTACCACCACTACGACGACAACACCAACTACTACGACAACAACAACTACCCCAACAACAACGACCACTACAACCACGCCCACAACCACAACGACGACTACTACCACGCCCACAACCATAACGACGACTACTACCACGCCCACAACCACAACGATTACCAGCACCACAACCATTCCACGGCGGTACGCCACTGAAAAATTTACGGAATGGGTGACCGGCGCCATGAACACCTGCTACCGGTGCGCAGCATCTGCGGGCTGTGGTGACCTGCTGCGTTTGCCGACATCGGCAGCCCTGTTTTGCGAAACAGCGATTTGTGCCCTCACTTACAACGCATCTGGTACGTCTGATCTGCGGGCTTTTCGATTTACACCAAAATATCGGCTGATATCCAGATAATACGGAGTAAATGGCAGACAAGCGACTTTGTCCGAAACCGTTTGTTTGGCTGGCTTACAAAACGGGAACACGACTAGCATCAGACTACACTAGCTTTTGCGTAAAGAATTTCGGTTCTACCGCTTGTATGCATAATGATATGAGACAAAGACCCAGACAGACTTACCAATGATCCCTTATACATATTACATGTATACTTCGTATTGTACTGATTTGCTAATTGTAATGCTGGAAATGAAGACAAGTTCCCGCACAGTTCTTGTACCTTAATTTATAGGAAACGAAGTAACTCGCGATTGTCTTAATGGCCCCATCCCGCTTTCTGATATCGGAACATCTTTACCGTATCTATGCCGGCGAAGCACCGACGTGGTCTTTGACTGTTATTGTGTCCAGTCGTATTGTAACGCTCACCCAGTGGCTGCATTTTCCGCACTAACTGATTCGATGTATGCGACATTCCCGTTGAACGAATGGGTAAGCAGTAAACGCTTAGACTTAGTGACCTTTGTCGCTACAGTAATGCTGTTTCTGCAGTTTGGCTTCGAACCAGGGGCTGCGTACCCAACACCACCGATTCCTACAACGACAGCATCGCCACCGCCACGCGACGCGACGCCATTGTCCTCTACAACGGAAGCGAAACAACCGTTGTGGATCAAGTGGCAACAGCACTATATTGCCTACCCGGTGCCGGTGCTGTATTTTTCCGGATATCCACAGCTTGGCATAATCAAATCTTTGCCAGACGGCTGACAAGAACAGCTGCTCCATAAAATTTTCTTCGTAGGATAAAACGGAAAATATTCACACCAGGAACAGAGAAACTAGTAGCTCAATTGAACTTACTCTACTAGTCCGGTCGCGTCTGTCAAAAATGCTGCAGATACTTGTGTTACTCCTTGAGTTCTTGCTGTCGGCACAATTCTCCAAAGTATTTTCATCCTTTACAAATAAAATGAGCCGTAATACCAATTAGCGAAAAATTTAAGTTTACAGCGACAGTTTACGACGTCCATCGTAATTGCAGCTTACTCAAGTCATTCATTCTTTTTAAATTCTGGATAATCTACCTAGGTGACAGTTATCTTCTTTGAGAACAAAATAAGAAGAAATGTTACTCGTTTATTTCCGACCAATGTCATGATGGCATGACTGAAAGAAATATTGACTTCATGGCAGGCATTCCCGCCTTTGAGGCAGACCAATGTATCTGTATGTACATCGAACGGAAGACTGCAGCAAAATTGCACACTCGGAATATATAAGCAGACAATCGGTTTCATCATTCACTCCAGCACATGTACAACATGAACGAACATAAATCATATTTCCCGGATCCGGGGAAAACGTGAAAAATAGCACTTCTACACCGGCGTCATCCGGAGACTACTCGTCCGTAAGGGCCGATGCCTCCTCGGCTGAGCATAGGTCGCGTTGGGCAAGTTGAACTGCGCGGCAGCAAACGAGCGTTGCCGTGGCTCCACAGCGTCTAGTTCCTCATCGGAAAAGGTCACCTGTCGCGGCAACCGGCCCATGGCGGGGGGCGCCGCGTACCGCGGATTCTGTCCACCGGCCGCTTTCCGCTTGTCCGGCGGATAGTACGACGGGCAGTACGGCGTATTATAGGAACACCCCACGTGATTCCCCACGTACACATCCCGCGTGCGGACATCCAGATCAGGCACGGTCAGGCTCTTCCGACTGAGTTTCGGGGAACAATTCGCCAGGCAGGTATCGTAAGGATTCCGGGAGTTATAAAACGCCCGTTGCTCGTATAGAGGAACCATCTCAATCTGGTCCAGACTGGAATAGCATCCCCGCGCTTCTACGTGATTACACGCCGAGCGGGCGGGTTGCCCAGGGAACCGGTAGTCCGGGTTGCGATTAAACGGGTAATTGTTGAGCTGCAGTTGGCGACCCTGCTCCTGGCGCTCTTTTTTATCCCAGTGCGCTTTGAACTGGAAGATACTGAGGTACACCAGACTGATGCCGCCCAGCTCCTGGCAGCAGAACGATACCATGGCCAGGATACTGGAGTAGCCGTACCAATGCTGGAAGCTGTCCTCGCCGTCTTCGGATTTCTCGTCGTGTTTGTGCTCGAGCTCCTGTACGACGTAGGTGATGTAGAGAACGAGGCAGGTAAAGGTGCAGATACCGGCGGTGATGTAGATGATGCCAGTGATGAAGACCCAGATTTTGCGCACCCGGATGAGCATGTTGGTCACCATACCGATAAAGGTCACGGCGGCCGCCGATACAAGAGAAGGCATGGAGATAATTGTGGCATCTACGAAGAGTAGAAATTGGTTTATAGTTCTGATCATTTTCCGCAGACGATATTAAACGAATTTTTCGCCCTCGCGTAACGGCATGCTGCTTACCAAAACCATTTACTGTTATCAATAAAATTTAAACATGTTAACAGCTTGCTTATTCGCATTATTCTAATATGTTGATTTATTCTTTCAACAAATGAATAATAAAAATGAAAAAACTCCAAAACTCCAAAAACTATTGGCAATGATGTTACTGACCATGGGCAATTTTTGGGTATTGTTACTGACCGTTGGCAATCTTTTCGTGTTTTAAAACCAACTAGATACCTTTCCACTGCAGTAAATTAACAATTCACGACATCATTGGTAATGATGTGCAAATTATCGCCAATCGGACTATTGGTAATGATTCATTGCCAATAGTTTGATTTGGATATTTTGGCTTGGATAATTTTACGATCTGCGTTTTCCTGTGGCAGGGTTTACACCGATGTTATTTACGAATTTTCTACCATGAGATTCTGAGTTTTAACCAGTTCAACGCCAAATTTACTAAGATTAACAGTGATTCGCTTGCCGCGGTAAACGCGCGTAGGCTCTGTTTATTTATTAATAATTCCCCCAGCTCGCATTACTAAACGAATACCTATAGCGTTACAATGCGCGCTGAACAGCAGTCAGCAACGTTTTTTGATTCTTTTTACCTGCGATTAAACAGTAAACTAACCTGATCAGTGAAGTAATAATTATAATAGTTTTCAAAAGACTCGAAGAGCACATGGTCGTCTGCTCATGGAGTAAACTACAATTTAACGTACCAGCCGCGTATTATACAGTACAGCATTAGTCACTGCAGTACTTGTAATTGCAATAAAAACCTGCTAAGAGTGCTGCAAGTAAAATTATATAATTCGAACGAAGAAATTACTTACTAGTTACTGCATAATAAAAAACTGCGTAACTTCTGTGGCAAAAAAAGAACGCAGACTTTGCCTGGGGAAATTGTGGCTTCAACGTAGTGCATTGGCATTTAGCGTCGGCATTAAAGTGAAAGTATGCTACTATATATATATTAATGGACGGCTACAGTAGACTTAAACGGCTCGGTCTTGAGCCCATACGTTTAATTTTTCCGCGTTCGTTGAACTTTTATTCACAAGTAATACGAGCGTTAGTAAGAAATAATACGTTAAAAGTGTCAAATTTTTATATTTAGTAGGTATGTATCGTTAAAATACTGTAACTGATTAGTGCCTTCTGGTTTCAAAATTAACGATACCGTTTCTACTGATCTCCGATTGGTACATATTTTGTTCTGCAGTATTCCTAATGCCCGGCGAAATCAGCAACGTGAGCCGCGCGAAATTAAATAATTCAGGGAATAGACAATTTCTGATAGAAAAATAACTGGTCTGCGGAATTATCCAGACACTTACAAATAACACACGTCGTGGCATTGCGGGCATCCACCAGGCGCGTATGATCGGGAATGTGGTGGTCGATCCAGAAGCAGTCAGCCGGCTGCTCCGGTAAGGAGGGATAGACTGCAGAAGGAACAGACAGAGCAATATAGCAACATGAGAAATGGTCTGTTTAGCACACTGTCACATGCCAATTGGAGCCGTCCCAGCGTACAGCAGCCCCACACAGCGCCACAAGTACCCACGATATCCTGCGGAAATCAAGCTGCGGATGATTAAATTGCAGCCCATATCCTTGACTGCGCAGAGCAGCACAGCCAATATAACAACAACCAGGCACCATCAGACAAAGTGATGTGATAATGCTAATGATGCTACAGCAAGTGCACTAATAAACCCGAACCGGCTTTTTCTCCTAAACAAATTCCCCAATGTTCATACCAAGGCACTGGCAATTGGTCCATGTGTTACATGAAAAAAATGGCGCGAGTTGGCCTAATGATGAGTGGTGGGTGGTTAGGTAATCGATTACACAATCTCTCCAGCTCACGGTCTCCGTATTATGGTGGTGGCGGTGGTCGCGTGAACGAGCGGGAACGTCTACTGGGAAATGAGGTTTTGATGTGCAATTTACAGTGCGGTTACGCAGTGCGGAGTCTAGGGACATTTGGTGGTGGATGCGTGGCGACCACGATGCACGCCGCGGGCCACTAGTGCCCCTGAACAGCCAGCCCTGGTCTACATAATACATTTTGCCGCTCTAACGAATTTTTCCCTCCAGTCAGATTGGGTGGGAAAATAATTGGAAATCTATTACTTGTTTAATGACGACTGTAAGGATTACGAGTTGTAGCCAGACCAAAGCCGGAATTATTCGTATACACTGCATGTCAGAACATTGCATTCATTTCTTACATTAGAAGGCGTAACAAAAAGCGCAATAATGCGAAGATTTGATGGGGGATAAACTATAAAGATATTATCAACAAAAATAAAAGTAAAATTTGAACGCAGGGAAACATTTCAACAAAAGACTATTCATCTCACAAGTTTCTCCTGGAGTTTGCAGTGGCTTAACTGATAGTAATACTAACGAATAAATTAAGAGAGACCACAGTGAAGTAGGGCTAAAAAAGTATGTGCACAAATTAAAAGCATAATGTGCTGAATCGCAATACCGCACATTACACGCTACTTCTAAATAGCGTAAACCTTTTATTTCTATTTATTTTAATTTTACGCTTAATTCAAGGCTGTATGAAGATTTAAAACTGCTTGGGTTTGCTTTTTGGAATGTTAGCTTTTTCTGATTACGTAGTATGTCGTGATTTTCGACGCTAACGCTTCATCAAAGATGGTACTACGTATACGGCAAAAAAGTAATATATACTTATGCACAATCATAGTACAATCAGAATTCAGAATTTAATGTTTTGGGTTATATTTAGAAAGACAAGAATCTATTTTGCAAACCGCAAAAATATTTTTACGAAAAAAGCTGTGCGTCAACGCCTTCCACCGGCTTTGTTTGGATTTCATAACACCCTGATAATGCACAGCTGCTTCTTCGCATTTAACCGAGACCAACAGAAACCGCTCTCCAACATAGAAACCTTTTTTTCGGCCGCGTGCAGCTAACTCAAGTGGCCGGGCCATCGACATTGTTGGGGGGTGCGACGTTGGTCTATTTATTCCCGCGTGGACAATGCTGCGATTCGAATGCCGGGAGAGTGCATATATCACTGTATATACGGTATTGTATAATCTAACCGTCTATGGCGTCCCATTGATCGATGGGAGGATGCCGGGTGTTACAGGCGCGATCAGAGCAACTGGAAATTAAAAAACCCGTTCGCGTATCGACGGTTACACTGGCCATTACACAGCACGCCCGAACCGGGGGGAACATGTGCACCACATGCTGCTGCTTTGATGATCGATTGATTTTTCAACTGTCCGACCGGCACATTGCGACGCTGTGTGGCGTCGTGTGTGTGTGTGTACGCTGCATCCCGTTTTATCCCTATACGCACTTGCCAACTGCTAGCTAGACAAATTGGGTTAACTTCTTCAAATAATGCATGCGAGATAGACACAATCGCTCCCCCTGCCCGGTACCGCTTCTCCCACTCTCGTCCCCGAGCATCCGCGCAGCCCCAAAGATAAACAATCAATGTATCCCAACAATCGTTGGTATATATTATAGACAAACAGTAGAAATCGAAGAGTTTGTGTACATGCCAATAAATTATGGAGTGCAATCGTCAGCTGGATATTTATTACGGGCAGACACGCGATGCCGCGCCATTTAATTGGAACACTTGACATTCGTAATTCGCCGAAACAAAGTTTAAAAAATGCTCAAATTGATTTACGCGTAAGTGCACGCGTCATAATACACTTGACTGTCATGATATATCTGTAACCATACGAAAAGCATTATTTAAAGGGATGTGCGAAACGGACGAAAACTGCACCAATTGACACAAATAATTATTATAAAAATCATTTGGCAAAAATAAATTATATGGCTTACTCAGTTGCTCACAATTTAGCTTCAATCTACCCAAATCACGAAGTTCAAATGCTGGAATGACTATGTACAGTGTACAAACGAAAAGAATATCGAATTTCATAAGTTCGGAGCATTGATGTTTAAAAATCCTGTAAACGCTGAGTTTTTTTCGAAGAACGACAGCGCTGCGATCTACTCGAAGCAAATGGAAGAACTACCAATATTACAGACCTACCATTGCGCGTACAGAACGCGAACATGCCGGAGAACGTGGTCCGATTCCAGTACGTCGTATTGCTCTGCACGAACGTCCCGGCCTTTGTCAGCATAAAATGCGGCGTGGCCGACTCTTCGGGGATGCGCTCCTCGGTCAGCAGCCAGTGATTGGTGAGCATGGAGGTTGCCAGGCAGATGATGGAGGCCGCGTTCAGTACGTGACTGCTGACGGCCATACGCCGTTCAGTGCAGGCCACCATGGCGCATAACCGGCCGCAGCAGCCGTTGGTGCCTTAATCACGACAACCGCTTGAGCAGGCAGCTGCGGCTCCGTACCCGGCATGAGCATCAGATCGCATCGGTTTCCACAAGACACCACCAACGTCCTCGATAAGGCGCTGGATCATTCATTCAACCGGGATAATATTCCAGCAAGAAAACACAACTATTGCATGGTGCGGAAAAATCTTCCCACAGTGTCTGACTCCTGGGAAAAATCAGATTCCGGCGTTTACCGAGCGCCGGCGTGCTTGATCGGCAAGGTGGGTGGACGCTTGAGCAGCTGAATAATGGGGCATATTTCACGCTGCGATAAGATCAGCGCCCAATGTGCAAGAAAAACTCGGCAGGCCTCTGACCCGTTCATAACGGTTTCCGGTGGAATGGAGGAGAGCAGCGCGACGACTGTGTATGAGTATGTGTGTATGTGGCAAAGTGAACGGCATGCGTTCACAGGACCGGCGTTCGGGCCGGGGATAGAGTGATATGGAGCAGAGTTGGATATGACAAGCAGGAGTGATGTGCTATTAATTTCCTTCTCATCTCTCCCGCACCAGATAGGCAGAAGAGTTACTCATGATCCCACAACCGCGAGAGAGGAATAAGAAGGGAAAGGAGAGAGCGCGCACATTGACTGCTGCAGCTGGATGGCAGTCATAATCCAGAAGCTAGATTGGACCACAACATATACACACACACAACTGCCAGCCACTCACGCGGGATCAAATGTTCCTGTGAGGCCGGCAACAGTAAAAATTAAATTGAATGGAAACTACTCTCCTTGGACTGATGACTGCGGCATGGCCCACACATGCACACACGCGTGTGTGTGGTCGGGGGATTTTATTGCGATGGGTGTGGCGAACAAATTGAGTGCATGTTGTTGTGGGTATATTTAAAGTGTACAAGAAATTAGGCAGGTGTAGCTTGCTGTACAACGCACAACTTTGACTGATCATCGATCGCTGCGTGCAGCGTTTGACTGCGCAACAACCGGAAGCAGCGTCATCTGCTTCCCTGTTTGGCCGCATCCTGTTGGGCTGTTTAAGTTTGTAGGGTGCGGACCGGACAAAAAAGACCCGGGTTTTGTCTGCAGATCCGGATGGGGCCAATTCGCCGGCCCCGGGAATAATGCACCGCCGCACGCTGCAACCAGAGACCGTGAGTGGCGCACCAGTTAACTTAAGCCCTTGGACAAAGGATGTGGCATCAACTTAAAAACCTCTCCATAAGAAATTTACTTTCCCTCACACAGTGCGCGACCAGGCGCGGCGAGATGACTGTGTAAACAGGAGCGTGGCAATGGAAACACAGGGAGACTATGGGCATGTGATACACGCTCGCTCACTCGTGGCCATTCATTTGGGCTTTGAATTACTTGCCAAGCGCTTAGGGGCGGAGCGTCCGTGGGCTTTCGTGCGTGTAACGATCCCGTCGCTGGTTATTGGCGTTAATCCGTGCATATATCCAACAAAAAAAGCGATCAGCAGTCCGTTTATGACGAATACACCCAATTTGTCTGTGGAGATACAGGAATCGGTTGGAAGCGGACAAACTCTCACAGCAAAGGGCACACACCCACCTCCAATGTGCAACAGTGTATTTTCTACGCACAGCTTAAAAAAGTACAAACCCGTTGAGTACACCGGAAAAGGGATGCTCTCATTTAGAAATAACTGGTACTGCCTTTGTTCTTTGACAAAGCATTTTACTAATACGAGTATATGTTAAATAGATATATCGAACTTTTAGCAAATAATCCACCATAGGTACACTAGGCACTGTAGGCAGGCAGGTACTCTGTAATTAAGGGCGGATAACATTAATTTTAAGATACTGTACATAGTTTGTAGGCGAATAAAAACCTATGCGAAACGCTTCGCTTCGCTATTAAAGTTATATTATCATGGATAGCAAGGTAATAATACAACATTATGTTTACCATGTCGATGAATTACAACTGTAGCATAATAAAAACTGTAGCATAATCTTTAATTCCAAAGGGACTGCAAATTACAGCTAATCTGGCGTACAAAATCTGTTTTATGTTCTCGGGAACATCTTTCCATCCACTCGCGATGGCTTTGCAACGTGCATTATGAACAGTTTTGCAAAGGTCACCAAAGTGTTATACAAATAATACAGTATACGGCTGGAGTAACGTACAAATACTACTACTGAAACAAGTGGATGCACCATAAAACAAGGATAACTGGATAAGCTTACACTGGAGTCCCTAACAAGAGTCTGCCGACATTTGGCATTCGTAAAGTGATGCTGGTTCGCAAGACTTTCCGGCGCCATTTCTAGTGTGCGCTTGTAAGCGAAAAAATGTGCCGAATAAGATGGCGCAAGATGGAATCATGTCTAATACGAGGAACACGCAAATACATATAAGAAGAGCCTGAAAAGGAACATGCAAATACATTCTCAGTAATTTTAACTAAACCAAAGGTATAATACAGACGGTAGACATTCCAGCCTATAATGAAATGACTTCGCATCTCGAACATTTCCCAGCTATTTGACAGGGCATCTTTCACTGTGACCAGAAGGTATAAAATGCCTTTTTTACCTGGATGGTGTTTCTACTTGAGTTTTACCTGTTTGTTTACGACCTGCGACGTTGGGTCGTCAACAGGAGCGAAAGGAGGACTGTTTTGCTATTTGTAAAACGTTTGCTGGAGGTGGCATCGGACTTGCAGTTCCTTGATAATTCTACTACGATAAAGACGTTGTAATGGCTAAAAAAATCTCAGAAATGTTTCTCGCACATGGACAACAACAAATGGACGTCTTTTTTTGCCGGTTGCAATTAGTCGATATTATTTACATTTTTATTCAGCAACAGCTAGCGCACAGATCAATACGTTTGCGCAGATATACACCAATTAAAATGCTTAGAAATTTTTAGCCAGTTGAAAGCTGACAGCCAGACCGAAACGTTACGCGTAATTACATACATCTCTGGTTTCAGCTTGATCTTCGTCTTTACCGCTCCACAATTCGACTGACCGGGCTATTCGACTGCACCGGTGAAAACATGTAAATATAGAATATCATGTTAACATATAATTAGATCATATCAAAACTATATTACAAGTGAAGTGCGCGCTCAGCGACTCCCTTCTAATTATTCAGCACAATTACACTAGCGCTTCGTACGTCAACTATAGCCGCAGTCCACGGGCATGTTTGCTCTGTAATTACTCCTCATTTCATTGGAAAGTAAGTCAGACCTTTCGATGTTCTTATATCTTCTATAAGCTATAGCACTCCAGTTCGAAGCATTGTTCGACGCATCTTGATTGGGCTGAAATTAAAGAACAATTTTGTACACACCATGTCTGCCGTTAACTACAGCGTTAAAATCCTTAACATGTCAAGCGCGGCAACATTACCACCGAGCGATAACAGGACGACCACTACGAACACAGACAGCGGATCGGTATTCCTTTTCAGCACATCGGTCGCTTCAATAATTTTCAATTGTATCGTTGTGGTGCTTCTCCTGAAAACCAAAAGTCTCCGGGCTCCGATTACCATCTACATCTTTATTCTGCTTCTGAGCAATATTATTTTCCTGGTCATCTCCACCATACCGGTCTTGACCACCCCTCTAAACGGCTTCTGGCCTCTGCATAACTGGCTCTGTACATTGCTGATGTACAATCAGAACGTAATAGTACCGATAACCGTCCACTGCCACGTACTGATCACCGTTAATCGCGCTTGGGCTCTTTTCTGGCCGCTGTCGTACCGCCTGCATCATACGGCGAAACTAACATGGTGGGTGTGCACCATCATGATACTCTACATCCATACTGTCCAACTGCCAGGAGTGATTATGGACGACGTGTATTATCGGAAGCCGAACACGTGCTGGACCAATACGGATACACAACCGGCGTGGTACCTCTTTGCGTCGGTCTGGATTTTTGGCGTGCCGAAGTTATTGATTCAGGTGACCTATCCTGTGCTTTTATGGAAGCGGTTGAAGCACCGAAACCGTGCCATCGCGGGAAGGAATAATGGGATGGAAACAAGACACCGACATGCTTCACCTCGAGCGTTTGTTCTGCTGACACTGTACACCGTCAGCACGTCCGTATGTTGGATACCTAGTACGATCTACTTTTCCTTATTGAAAACTGTCGCTAATGGCGCTAGCCGCTTTGGCACCTTAAGAGCGGTGCAGTTTTATCTGTCACCGCTGCAGAGTCTGTGTGATCCAATACTGTTTCTGCTTAGCATAGGGAATTTGCGTGCCCTAATTGTTCGTTTTCTGAGAGGTCGTCAGCGCGAAGAAAATGCAGTAGACTTTACAAGACATTGAAAGCTATGATCTCGAACTATCGGGTAGTGCTTACAGAGATACAACCGGCAATTTTTTGTGATTTATGGTTTGTTAGTATTGCTTCTTTGCTGTTAGGGGAACGCCTTACGGTGTGCCTTTGAATGCTCTATCACAGATTATCTATTCACATATTCCAAAGGGTGCAATAAATTTATTAATGAAGTTTAGGGAAATGGTAAACCGAAAATACTTTACTCGATAACGGAATTATTCCTAATGCAGATCTACAAAAACGTAAACCGGTTAGAGCCTCACATCATGCCGACATGTAAACATGACAAAATAAATGTAATAGTGTTTACATCATGTAAACCGTTCAATGATAAGTACGGGTCTCTCTTATGGAAATAAATGGAAAAGCTCCCATAATTTTATTTTATTAAGTCACCGCACTGTAGCATAAGTAAATGTATATGGCGGACCAATTCTATGCAGTTTGCATCCAAACCTTTCATTCACCTTTGCCTGAAAAAATAAAACGTAATTTGACGGAAAAGTAAAACCTGCAGAACCCATACAAGGACGAACACAGCATTCATAAGACTGGACATAGTATTTTGCTTAGTTCACTCGCTCCCGAAGAACTATGTATTCGGTTGGCTAGATTTTGGTGTAAATGTGGTCTGTAGTTCCGCCAATGAAGTCGCTAATTAGTTCCCGACGCAAAAAGCTTTACAAAATACTGCAAGTTCTTCATGTTTGCAGTACCCGAAGACGGTTTAATCGTTATTGTTTTCCGCGTCGATGGGTAAGGAAATCGTTCAACACTTCTACACAAAGTACATGAAACAACAATATTTTGTTACAAGAATAATCCGTATTGCGTAAATGAATTATCGCATGATTTGGCATTTGCGTCAGGTATTGGTATTTAGTGCTTATTATATCTGTACATGAAAGGTTAATGGGTTACCTGCTACCGAGATGAAACTATTAAACTATTAAACTAATGGCGCACCTCTTCGTGCTTGCTATACTGCCACTTCCTACTGCAGTTGCACTCAACGGTCATGTTTGCTGTATTAATTAGGTCTCATTTGTTGCGAAGCGCGCCAGACCTTCCCTTGATGGTTTCGTATGGTGCCCGGTTTTCGGGAATGTTCAAATCTTCTTTATTGCTTTAAACACCATGCGTATCGTTAACTACTTTATTGGCTCACGCGCGAACAAACTGCCGGTAAGGACCAGCGGGACGACTACTCCCAACAGCATGGATCCGCCTTCTAATGGTCTGACATCGCTGTACGTCACAGAACCAGCGCAATGCGGGCTAAAGCGATACGTCATATTAAGTAACAAGTGCTGAATTTTTCTTCAATAGTTCCGGTTTCCCAGCAAGAATGGATTCGAAAGGTCTACTCGTGAAAGATAACAAGAGGCCGGATGTGAATCACGTGATCACACTTGTA